TCCATAATGGTTTCTGGTTTTTGTCCTGCCAAGACCATCTTCAAAATATGACAAAATAATTTCATTAATTATTATATTGAACATCTCACCCAGCTTAAACAATCTTATGATATATCTGGCATAAGTTGCTAAATGACAGAGTTTCATCATTACTGTAACTGATAACAGATTTACTCTATCCCCTGGGGCAAATATGAGCCCCTTATTTCAATTTTGGTTATGCACCTCAAAGACCCTTCCATTTATGAAGAGTATTTGTTTCCAGCGTATCTTTGTCTAGATAGACAAAAATTGTTGACACTCAAGTCAGTATAACCCTTTTATGGTATCACCCCTTAATTAGTCCCTTGGGGGTAAACCAGAACTGTCATAGTATCAAAATGCCCTCTCATAATAATAAAACCAATAAGATTTGCATGACTTACAGTAGAACATGAACAAAATGAATCAAAAGTATCATTTTCCAATGTAAACTGAAGTAATCTTCCCCCTCACCCAGGGCAAACCTGGAGCCCAGTCATGAAATGGACAATTTTGATAAAGTACCTTAAGATCCTGTAATCAATCTGGACTTTCTCCAAAACTGTAATTCCACTATAAATTTATTTATATAGAATTACCCAAGAGACCCTGCTATCTACAGAGAGTATTGGTTTAAAACTTATCTTGGTCTAGAGAAGAAGTTTTGTGAAATTCATGCAATGGTGACTGCCTTCGGTCCTGCCCCTTAAAATCCCTTGGAGCATGGACCACATAATAAAAATTTTGGTGCATCTTTGACCAAGGGAAATTCCTACAAATTCATTGAAATCAGTTAAGGACTTCCTGAGAAGAGGTTGAAAACTTGAACTGTGTACAAACGCTCAACAGATGATGCATTATGGTAGATGAAAGTATGATAAGAACAGGCCGTCTTAGAATTTGTATCTGCAATTAGTGCAATTATATTTCAATACAACACTTTGGTGCGAAAAGTGCTGAAACAAGATTACCACTATATATGTCAATCTATAGTATATGATTTAAGTATTCCAGTTACAGATAAACACATTTTACTGTTGGTGCCATGTGACCTATTGAATGTATGGGCTGGGAAGTAAATTGATTCTTTTTAAGGAAACTCAGGAACAATCTTCTATGTTCTTAAAAATCCTGATGTTAAAAGTACTAACCGATTTATACTGTTCATTTGGCTGTAGATCAATTCTTATGATGTCAAACTTTCCAGATAAAGTATTTTCACCTGAAAAACCATATCAAAATATTCAAATGTGGAGATAAATACAATATATCATGTATTACAGGTATCTTATAGAATGAAGAAACTTTTAAATGAACATTTTATATATATATTGTCCATTCCCCGACTTTATATTTCTGTCATCTATTTTAAGTCTCAGTGCTAAACTTGATTTTGTGAGATAATATATTGTGAACAGTTGTCTTAATTTGTGCAACTTTTGACCAAGTTTATGTCGACTTTTCGAGATCATGACAAGTTTGACTATCATGACTGTGAATGATCAGATGATTTTACTTGACTTGTCTTGTTAATTATCTCGACAAGTTAACAAATTTGGCTTTAAGTGACATTAGCTTTACAAAATAACATGATTTGTAATAGTCATTACCTTTAAAAAGTTGTGTTATAATAATACCATTTTAAATAACTGGATGGCAGAAATTTGCCACTGCAGTATTTGCATTTGTCTGTCATGATTCATGATTTTAAGAGATTTGTCAATTATTTTAAATCAAATTAGCACTATAATGATGACTTTATACATGTCTGATTGTACTGCTAACCAAAGAAAAGTTTGCTAAATAAAAAGAAAAAGTCATAAATGATTAGATACATTTATTCTAATAAATGCTCCCTACCCTCCTCAGTATTTCAGATGTTTTCATCTTGTATGACTTACCATAATGTTGTAAAATGAATATCCATGCATATGCAGTTGAATCCAAAAATAAACAAACTTGTAATTTCAGACAAAATAATCCTCAACACAATCACTAAATGAATAGTTTCTATATAACAAAACTGAAACTGCTAACATGAGTTCAAAAGTCAGAGTTGTAGACTATCATAAGAGTTCCCTTTCTTTGGAAAATTTTCATGTCCTTAGGGCATGTATAAGAATGAATATGATATAATACACTGTATTTGTATTATGCAACTATTATATATATATATATATATCATAGGTACATAATTTGTAGTTTACTCACAAGCTGGGCATGTGTATGATTTGTTGAACTCTCTTGCTCCATCTTCATCGCAAAAAATGTCTGATTGAGGAAATGTGTTAAGGAATTTTCTAAAATATGACTACATGACACATGCATCATATTTGTCTTTTTTATTGCTAAATAAATAATGTTTTCACAACAAATGTCTATAGAAATGTCAAATTTTGGAATAAGACATGAGGCAAGGCTCACAAAGTAAGGATTACAGAAAAAAATGAAATAACAGATACTCAATAACTGGTCAATACTTACTTATTTCAGATCATGGTTTTTAATTTAACTGGTATAACCATTTTCAGCCTGTAGTGATTTTGATTTACTTGTTATTCAATATAAGTAATATTGTGTTTTAAAATCATCTTCATGTCTTCAAAGTTAATATACTTTTTAACCAACTTAGCAAAGTCATTCATCCGTTTCATCCAAGGATACGAGAACAAGAAGTCACCTGCAACAGACATTTGATTAATAATTCATAATTTACATTGAACATGTAAAGACTTAGGAATCAGAAAAGCATCTGCTGATAGATCTACATGCATCAAATCAAACAGGATTTAACTATGCAATTGCCATAAAATTGGTATCAGTAGCTGATATGTTTAACTCAATGAAATGGTGAAGTCTTGCATATATATGTACACACAAACAATTTAGTCACAACATTGTGCATATAGTGCATATAGATTATAGATCTTTTTAAAAACTCAAATTGCTAGAATGAGCTGGTGGATTTGTAAACTTTTCCTTCTCTTTTGATGATTAAAAATGCCTTGAAATTGGTCTACTTACCCATGCAAACGAGTTTAACCTCTTTCTGCACTTCTTGTAGTTACAAATTAACTCTCCATCCATTCTTTACGTGATGACTGGAAAGTTTACCTGCACACTGCTTAAGTATATATGCGTGTCTGTCTGAAGGAAAAAATCATAAAACTCCAGCAAAATGCCAAAAATATACTATACTATTAATATATGGTAAAGATGTAGCCAACTGAGGTACAGTGTACTCATCACAATGTAGTTTTACAGGAGATTGATTGAAAACTGTAAAGGGGAGGGGGGCTAAGGGGGAGGGGTCATGTTTTGTATTTCATCAATTTTGTGTGATTTGTACCCTCATTCGAGAGAGATGGGGACTACTGAGACGGGTTGGTCTACCATGTAACTCAAATTCTTTAATTTAATTTGGTTTTTAAATGTTTTAATGTCAGAGCTCGCTACCTTAAGTTGGTGATAACGCTATTTCATCAATAACAATAATTCCTTCCTAATACATATCAGGTGCTGTTTGACATGAAAGCCTACCTACATTAGTATACTTTTGTTGTTTATATCATTTGAAAGTTCCCCGCCAAGTTGAGACTGGAGTCTGCTATATTGAAATCATTGTGACGGAAACGCTTAGATTGTTGTAGTGTTAAAGATTTGTGTTGTAAAACTTACCAATGATTCTGATTGTTGATATTTTCGTGGCAACATGGCGGGGTGGACAGGATTTTCTGATGAAGATCTCCGTCGGTTGAAAGGTCGGGAAGCTGACAGATCACCTGTGCAGCAGAGAGGTTAATATATCCGAATTATTAACATGTTGCATCAAAACACATATTGCAAACTTATATGTTGTAGTTCGTGTCATTGCACCCCGACTTTCTGATCTCGCCACTGGCACTGGAAAAGTAAACAATCGGAGTGAAAAACAGTAAAGTCCAGTTCCATAATAACCATATCATATGTGTAGTAGCCTTAATTTTCACTCCTGTTGTTTATATTCTAGATGCGTATATGAGCGTCAAACTGCCTTTAATCAGGGACAGCGGTCTGTTCGTTTAAGTTTAGGGACAATACCAGTTCGCCAGCACTATAAAACATTTCAGGCAGACATCTAGATGAAGCTGCAAAATTTAACACGTCACCTTGCGGCTTATGTGATACCAGCCATTTAGGATCTTAAATTGTGCTAATAGCTAGTCAGCTGATAGCTATATATCACATGTATCTAAAACGGCAACAAGTGGCAAATGAATAGACAATCAGTGTAATATTTATAAAGAAAATTAACTCAAAAATGAAGCATGAATGGAGAATGAAAATTAACTTTATTTTACGTTGTATTCAAGTTAAAAAAAAATCAACATCAGTTCTATAGAGCCTTCATTATAATGTTGCTAAGGGAACATTTTGCTTTTTGGGTGAAAACTCATGGGTGAACCACCATCAGTAGGGAAACCCATTCTGATTCCCCGGGGTGACTTACCTTTGTTTCACACTGTCAAGTTTAACAACCAATGAGCTGAACTAACCAAGCAGGTTTGAAGCTCAAAAAAGATTTTACATGAATTTGAGTGATTTTTGAGTTAACTTTTCCAATTTGGAGAGAACAAATTGTTATAATAAACATTTTTATTAAATTTGTTTATTCGCTTGCCTTATCACCCCTGAAACAGCCATGGTCTGTTTAAGGCAGAGTCTCCTTGCATTGTATGTGAAGTAACTGGTTGCTACCTCTGTGAACAACATATGGGAGGCCCATCACATGCTATCCAGAGTGATTAGGGTAGAGTGTCTTGACCAAGCTAGGACACAGACCAGTCAGTCTTTCAGCTTACTTGGATTGATATGATCAAAACACATACCTTTGATCTTTACCTGAGGTTACATAGGCCAATGCTCTAAATGACTTATTTGAAAGACAACCATTTCTCTTATATAATCTATTGAAAATATTTCTGTTTCTTCCCTTTCAGCTTCAAAGAACTTAATACCCATGCCCTACAAACAAGGCCAATTTCAGCAGAGAAATAAGACTCGAACACCTGAGAGACGAATGCCACCTTCTGCAGCAAGAGGAAGTGCTTCAGAAGTGCCTTCAGCAGGGCAAAATGTATCTCAACCAAAACCTACATCTAACCCCATACCAAACCAATCATGTGAGAATAATTTTTAATTTGAAAAATTAATATTGTATAACAGGATAACTAAAAAATTTGATCACTAAAAGATCATTTCACTACAATACACTGCACTTGAAATTGTTTTTCCAAGGGTAATTTTATTATGTTTAGAGTATAAGTAATTCATTATAATATTTTTTCCTCCTATGCTTGCATCATGCCATCATACACTGTAGTAAAGGTAGAAAAAAGAGGATTTGAAAATGGAAAAAGAATTGTTAAGAGTGTTACATGAATCTATCTCATCTTGATACCATTCCATTGAGTGTTACATGAATCTAGGTCATCTTGATACAATTCCATTGGGGCTTCAGCATCTTCATGTAATTGAGTACATTTGACCTTGTTTTAAAGGTCATAGAGGTCAGATTTGTTGAGATATCAGTCTGTGATAGGTAAACATTACAAGGCTTTCATTTGTTGTTAGAATATTAATTACTATGGTATGCATTTATGATTCATCACAGGTAATAAAATTCCACGTGACCGCAGTCAGTTTCCAACCAGTGGCGCTCTGTCAGGTCGAAGTGATATGGAGTCTACAGATATGACACTTGCTGATCAAATACCGGAGAAAATTGTAGTGAAGGAGGAACCAAAGTTTGAAGACCTTGGTCCAGAAGAGGCTCTGAAGTATGTCATGTACTGCAGGTCTTTTACTGTCACTTGAAGATCCGGCCTTTTCCTTGTGTTTTGTGAAATAACTAAATTGATAAGTGGGTGGCAAATTTTCAGAGTTCTGCATCAATAACAAATTATTTCATTTTGTTTGTTGCATAAAAACCTTTGAACTTGATAAAGAGCATATATTTGGGTCCAGTAAGACACTCATCAATGTTTTGAAATGTCAAAGGAAGTTATTGAATTTATTTTATGTGTGCATGTGTAAATAAGTGAATCAAATGAGTTACTTGGATTACCAGCCATTAGTATCATTTCCTAGCCATGGCTTATTTGACGAACATTACAAAACATTCAATACTCATGGAAGTATTTTCTGGTTTTTACAGTCGTGACCTTGGTAACTTGGAAAAATTCAGAGAGCAACAAAAAGAGATTGAGGAGGCTAACAAACATAAAAAAGCACTCTTAGCCAAGACCTTGTCTGAGAGGTAAGTTCATGTACCAGGCACACTCGAGCATGCAAGAATATATTTACTATCATAACTATTGAAATGGAAAGCCTTTTATGCCTAAAACATTTTTGGGAAAAGGCATTATAAGGTTTACCAATTTCAGTGATTTTTTGTGACTGTGTTATGTAGTACTGCATTTCTGTGAAGCTGTAGAACCTACATTTCTGTTAAACTGTAGGTCCTGTATTTCTGTGATGTGGGTACATTTCTGTTAAACTGTAGGTCCTGTATTTCTGTGATGTGGGTACATTTCTGTTAAACTGTAGGACCTGCACTTCTGTGATGTGGGTACATTTCTGTTAAACTGTAGGTCCTATACTCTGTGATGTGGGTACATTTCTGTGATGTTGATGGGCCTGCATTCTAGTGGTGCTTTTGGTCTGATGTAATAGTCATGAAAGGCCATATGGATTTCACCTTCCATAGAAAAAATAAATCTTTATGTATTTTTGTAAACAATTAAGCTATAAAGTATTATTACAAAAGATGTTTTATTAAGTCTTGAAATATATATATCTTCTTGGATTTGTGTGCTCTTAAATTTAACTTTATTTTTTTCTTGTCAAACATATTAATGGATAGTATTTGATAAATAAACTCTACATGGGTTACAACAATTGTGAAACAAGTTTCAAACTTATATTAATCACTCTTGTTGGCTGGGATGGAATTCTTACTGTGGGAGGAAATCAAAGTACCCTGGGAAAACCCACATGGTCCAACAGGTGACCCCATACCTTTTCACGTCCATTCGGGAATCAAACCCCAGATAGCTTGCTGAAAGGCAAATGCATTACCACTGTGCTACCAGACCATCCATTGTACTTGAATAACGTTACTACTAGCCACCAAGTGATTTTGTGTTATTATGCATCAATCCAAGACTCTTAAGATCTATAGCAACCTGCTCTCTATTATGGAAAAACAAGGGTTCATTCAGCATACCAGATATCAAATTCACGGGGTGAAATTGAACTCTACCAAAACAATACTAACTTGCCTCACAAAAATCCTTTAATTTGAAAAGGATTCGCAGTCCCATCAAATATCTAAGTATATAAATGCCTTTTCATGCAGTATCATTATATACCCACAGGCAAAAGAAAGCCAGGATGGAAGCAGAAAAGCTGACACACATTCAGAAGGAATTGATGATACTAGACAACCTACTGAGTGCTGATGTAACAGTAGTGCGGAATAGGATTGAATCTGCTAGTAGAGATTACATGGAAGCAACGTATGTTTAGATTAACACAAGCTAGTAATAAGATAAATCTTTGATAATTTAATTTTGAAGCATTTGAGGATGACAGGTTTGGAGTTTTATTGAGTAGGATATTGTCGACTTTAGTTTCGCCTGGTACAGCTTTTACATCATGAGATAACAGTATCCTTCTCAATTAAACATGTGACCCAACACCCTAGTAGGATGCCCTGCATACCATTTGATATCCAAGCAGAGAAGGATCTTATTAAATCCAAACAAACAGACATTGGTTGTCTCTTTTGCATCCTCGATACTCAGAGGAATGTGCTAACTTTGCGCCTCTTGAACATTTCATGGCAAGTTGAATGCAATAGGAAGTAATTTGATAGGTCTAGCAAGGGTTCCAGGAGAAAAAACAATTACAGACTGATATGCTCCTTTGAAGTTAACAAAGGAGCGACATCTAACTTCACAGCCAGTACATTTTACCCATCTTATCCACAAGGTGTCACACATGGAACCTTCAATATTGCCATGGAATGTTCCAGGAGTGCAGAGAGCAATAGTTAGCAGTAGTTAGCGTAATGTCTGGAGTATCAAGGATGTCGCTTTTAGTATTTTCTCTCAACTTCCATATAGTGTAGGCTCATCTTAGTCCTTAGAAGTGCTCTTATAATTTTGAGATGGATCAATAAAGCAAAAATCGGTGACGGGTAGCTATCTTGGACTTTGACTATGAAAGTTATCACTATAAAAGCACTGGATGAATCTTTCTCGTTACAATTTCCTTTGGTCCCAACTTTTGCCCTTTCAATTCTAGTACAGTGCTGATCAGGGAAACATAATGGCGGAAATGTGGCCTGCTAAGAATTTGAAGTTATCACTATTTCTTGAAGCAGTTGATTGATCATTTGAAAATTTCATATGTACATGTAGGTCCCCTTAGTCTCTTGTATACATGGTCAGTTTCGAGACTTGTAAAAAAAGGCAGATTGGAGATCAGCTTGGATTTTGACTGTGAATTTTCATTATCTCTATTTCTTGAGAAGAACTGGATTGATCCTAGCCTACATGTACAGTGAATTTTCATTATCTCTATTTCTTGAGAAGAACTGGATTGATCCTAGCCTACATGTACATCCATTTATATACAAATCAGGAGAAGAAAATGTCCGACAGCAACCCTTTTTGATTTGACAGTTAAAGATTATCATCACTATTTCTTTGAGGTATTCTCAGATTCTCTATAATATCTAAGATCATAGAAGTAAATTAGAAATATTTTATTTTTGATGTTTCAGGAGACGTTACGACAAGGCTGAAAAGGAATTCATTGAAGCCAAGTTGGACTTGCAGAAGAAGTCTGAACTGAAAGAACAGTTGACAGAACACTTATACACCATTATACACCAAAATGAAATTCGAAAAGCCAAGAAGTTATCTGATCTTATGTCTGAACTTGATATGGAGACAAAGGGAGAGCAGTTGTGCATAGGTAATTTACCTCCATTGTCTGCATTCTCCAGTATGGGTATGGTGAAGATTGCTTCTCCCACATCTCCAAAAAGTGACGACATTTTCCAAAGCGAGCAAGCTTCACAGGGAACCAGTTCTGCAGTATCAGTGTCTTCAAATTCAGATACTAGTATAAGTGCTATAAACGTATCAAATTCAACTGATACAGGTCATACGAGGACTGAAGCTAATCTATCCAGTGTTGTTGTTGACTTATCCAATGAAAGTTCCATATTGCCAAAAGAAAGTTCTTTATTGCCAAACAATGCATCAAATGATAATCATGACACAACTTCTCCAAGTGAATCTCAAGCAATAAGTCAGAACGGTTCTGGAGAAAGCTTGGACTGTTTAACAGAAACAGAAGATTTTAAGGTAAATGACAACACAGAACAACCATCAAACTCATCAACTTGTGCAGATGATTCATCAAGCTATAATAGTGCAATGTCCTCTAATCCAGGCGGAGAGGACTCCTCCCAGTCTCCAAAGCATACAGAAATTCAGGATACAGAAAAAGCATTGCCAAGCTCTTGGACATTGGACTCAGTCAGCATAAAAGAGGAACCTGTGACATAGAGCACGTTAGATGATTTATTTGATATATGTATACACTCTGTTATGATTTTGTAATTCACTGCCATTATGACTCTGTTCAAGGTAGATATGTTTTACATTAATTGATAAAATTTCTGTCAATGATTTTATTTCAATCAATGTACGAGGGAGGTACTTTAGTTTGGTAACTTATTTGCTGGTGAACTACTGGATGCAACAACAAAATATCCAAGAGTTCTGCTCTCAATTACCTGTATCTCAAATACTTGCAATTCCCTGGATAAATTTTAAGGTATGCAAAGCATCCTAGATGTAAATTTGGCAGGATTTTGGTTTGACTGAAGACTTCATAGTGTCTTTAAAAGGATATATATCAAATAAGCGATTTATCATGTTTCAATGTCAAAAACGATCTAAATAGCTTTATATACCACAAGCTTTTTTTTTTCATGTGTGCATAGGAAATTTACAAAAAGAGCAGAATCTCTTGGTTTTGGAGCTGTTTGGAGGTACATATTTGCGCTACATGTAGGATTTGATATCAACATATATATAATGTTAGTATTTGATATCGGCATATATCATATTTAACGCTGGGATGGAGATGTCATTGATGCAGTTGGCACTTTCTGTATCAGATGATTCTTTTATTTTTTATTTTTGATTGTTGTTAACCTTTCCTACATACCTTTTCAAGGCATAAAGTAGGTATGGTTCAGAAGCATAAACTTCAATTCATTATTTCATATTCCGCTTCCATTGGATATCATCATTTCATAAATTTCATCGTCTACAAATCAATCATAGTACTTACTCTATTCATAAGAATAGGAGGTTTTACATTATCATTTTAACAGGTTAGACAATTTACTTTCTGATTTTTGCAGCTGCAGCGAAACAGGGCAAACACAACATGTCAGATGTCAGGTTACATAGCTCAACATTTTATGACACACTTAATGAGATATGTAGGATCTTATAGGAATTTTCATTGGATATATGTTTATTTAAGAAATCAGTAATTATTTCATAAAATCTTTGGCAAGCTTAAATAAAACATACATGTGTGCTGAATAGCAAGGAAAGCATGCGATAAAGGTTAATTGCAAAAGAAAATGTAAAACAAATTTATGGTATTGGTATATATACAGATAAATCATCTGAGTATGTCGACTAACATTATTGAGACCTATCCAGACAATTACATCTTTCAGTCTAAATGGGACATCAGATTAATTAGCAAATATTTAATTTTCTATTTGTCATTATTACATCTTCCCTACTATTTTGTATGAAAACATTAACATGTTGATGTTGCATTGAAGTGATGCATTTTTTGTTTGCATGATTTTAACAATTGAGACATAAACAAATGAATTTCATCAAGATATCCCTCAGGTCCTACAAGACTAATAATAACTGCCAAATGCTATGTTACTACTTGTATGTCACTCAATAATTCTTGTTCAATTAAAATTGTAAAAATAAATATTTTTTATATAAGTTTTACATGAATCATGACTTTTAAAAAAAGAACATTTATCCAACCATATATTCAGTTTTGTTAATAAACCAACAAGACTGGTGTGTATAGACTCTGAATCATAGAAATGATTAAAAGTGTTTAGTAGAAAATCACCTGTAATGGCTGTACATATACATATATTGAAGTGTAAGTTATCATGATACTGCTGAAAATGGATTTTATCTGTTAATTATCTACAGATAGAAGATATCAGATCTGTACTTTATTTGATGTGATACATTAAGGATCACTGTAAGTTCAGATAAAGCCTTTTAAAAACTGCTATAGAAACCCTTGTCAATAATGATGCTGCTCCTGGAATTTCCATAATACAGTTAAGTCTTCAGAAGTGTGTTGTCTGAATGATTATAGACCAAAGAAATCCCTTTAAGAACAAATAGTATTGAGGTTAAGTGGTACTTATTTCACAAATGTTTTTAACAGTATTTCAACTCAATGAGGTATATATCCTGGTAATTCAACCAGCTAATTGTTTTGATAGTGTTGACTGATGTACACTTTTAGTGTTCAGTATATCAGCCTGAAAACTTAGGCATTTATAACTGGTTGTACCTTATTAGATAAGATATTCTGTAGGTGTATGCATTGTGTATCTTTAGTATGTTATAGCAAGCTCTCAACCGTTGTGCCATTGCTATTTTATATTAAGGGGTATTAGCTTAACATTTGCTGCATGTTGTTTGTGATGATCATATAACCGTATGGTTAGACAATATACTTGCTGTAAAAATCAAATATCATGTTGATATTAGATACATAATATTACCTTGATATGCAATTAAATATTTTTTTCTTAATTGAAATATTAATTGTTGTTGTCAATTGTTGGTACATTCAATTTTCTCATCTTCAATTCATAAAATGTCATAATGATTTAGCAATGACTACAATTCACAAAAGACCTAGATACCCCATTGTACAACTTCTCATTTGATCGCTTTTACACCAGATGAAAAATTTTGTAAAATTCTACTTTGAGCTACAGTGACTTACAGCTTCAGGTGGCAATCCTATAAAAGACATGAATCGAGGTGTATTTGTTATGGTTTTATCAAAGGATAGTTGTTGTATCCTATGAATAAGTATTTGAAGGGATCACACAAAAGGTCATGAAACAAATATTGATTTATATTTAGGCCTCTTTTCTTCTAATTTTCGTGTGATCAGTTTGTTAATTAAAAGTTAGTATATTCAGGGGAGATTAATCGGAGCCATATTGCTTGGTTTAGATACACTTTTGGAACCACCATCATATGGTGTCAAGAATTTCTATAAGTCCAGATGTCAAAATATATAAAACAAAAATGTATCGTTATTGTTTATATACCATAAATGAAATTAATTCTTTACATTTATATACGTTATCTTTTTAAATCAACAAAGTACCGTAGCACATTGAAATGTTATACAACAGTGAAAATTTTTTGTGCTTCAACCAGTTCTCCTGATTTTATCAAAATTATCAAATGAATTGTTCCAAGTAGAAATCAGCTGGATTTACACACTAAGTCACCATAGACTGTTACATGTAATATAGATTTGTAAATTACAGTCAGTAGGTTTCATGTTTAGTCCAGATCCAAGAGTTGATTCCAAACTGATGCCAGACAAAGAATTTGCTAAAAGTTAGTAAGTTTTTAACTGACTTTGCCCGATTTAAAGTTATTGTAATGATTTAGAAAACAATATAAAATTTAGTAAAATTTGGACAAATACTTGAAATAATACAATAGGTCGGCCTTCATTCCAACGACAGCACATGTTTAAGAGTCATATCTACCATGTGCACATGTATTTCAGTTACTTGCAATATTGAAATACTTGAGCATTTAGTAATTCTATCATGTGTACAGAATTAAATACAAAAACTAACAACAAAATGACAATACAATATAATTTATTTCTTTATCCATCCTCCTCAATAACACACTTATACATTAATGTACATACCAAATCTATTGTTTACAGTATCCTGTATATGTCATTAAAGTAGAAACATATTATTCAGATTCAGTCCAGTTAATACATGCAAACACATATCTCATTCAGTAATCATTCATACAGTAACCAACAAATATTTAATAGAACATATATATACTAAATAATGTTGATTTATGGCATAATATCTTGATATAGGGATCGGACAAATAAAATTTCACGATTTAGATATATTCACTATTCTAGTGAAAGTCTTGAGATTTGTCTGCCAATAGAAATAACATGGAATATACATTATCTTCATCACTTTGAGAGTTGCGGAGGAGGACCAAATAACCCTCCTGCCTGCTTACTGGCAGCACGCGATGGAGCTAGTCCAAGGACCTTCTGGATGTTCTGAAAAATATGAAATAGTACTTTCAGAGATATATGAAGAAAACTATATCATATGAAATATTTACTCAGTCAAAACAACACTGACAATACTGGTCAAGGTAATCACAATGATGCATTGTTTTATGGTAAAAAATGGTCTAAATTAGATATTGATATCAGTTAATCAGTCCAATCTAACTCTATTTTTAGATCATCTGACCTGTAGGTTGTGGTTGACCTAGCTATTGGTTTTGCGTATTGTCCACCTTCGTGTGCTGTTCAAACTTTATTCCTTAAAATGCTACTCAAACCTGGGAGCAGATTTCAACCACTGTTGAAAATAACTTTTTTAAATTAATGAAGTTGATTCAACCTTAGGGAACATAGGTAAAATTTTGATTTAAATCACTACTTCAACCGAATTTGGTTGGAAATATCTTTGTTGGAGGACAATCATTTCTTAAATAAGGTTGACTATAGGTGCCTTAATGCCATAGAGTACTTCAACCAAATCTGATCTAAAACATCACAAGGGGAGGCAATCATTTCCTATTTACATTGTATATGGAAGTTGTGTCGCTTCTAGAGTGGGACCCAAAAAATGAGGTTGGTAAATCTTTGGTTGTAGAAATGTTCAGGGACTTGCACTGACCAAGCGTTTCGATTTGTTTCAATTTTTTGTTTCAATTTGCATGTCAGTGTCAGACTGTATAGGTTTACAAGCCTCTTATTTCATTGACTACGGCCATATAATATAAAAATAGGTGACATTGATAATTATTTACATTTCAATCTTGAGGTCCTTGCTATAATTTTTTGTACACCTTCCAAAGTAATGTATACAATTTTTACTTGATCAAACATAAAAAAGGAATGATATTGAAATACCGCTGGATGTCCATTGTTTGTTCTGTTCGTCCATCTGTTCTCAAACAATAATGTTAGTAAGTTCAAGTGGATAAATTAAACCCAATCTTCAAAAACTGCTTTGTTATCAGAAGTGATTGCTTGGGATTGCTTTTCAGGTCAGACTATGACAAAAGTTAAACACCAAAATCACTGTAACTGTGAACAGAAAATTGGTTTTGGTCCTCATTTCTCCACAGTTATGCATGTTTAGTGAAGCATCAACCTTGAACTTCACATATTGCTTCCTCATGTGTAGTGCTTGCTTCGGATTGTCTTTTTGGATTCAAAGGTCATTCATGGTCACTTGTCTGAATCACCATTACCAAACAACACACCAAATTCTAGTGAACTGATCAAACTCAAACTTGTTTCTGATACTGCTTTCTTATAGGGAGTGCTTGCTTTGGATGGTCATTAGAGTACAAAAGACCACATGTCAAGGTCATTGTCAGTTACTATCAATAGAAATTTGGTTTCCACCTAATAACTCAAATTCCTTTGTATGGAATGATATTAAACTTCAAACAGAACTTCCCTATGAACACAACTTGTATTAGATTATTTTATGATGTGAAAAGGTAAAGTCACATCACCATCAAAAGAACTGGTTTCTGCTCAATAACTCAAGCTCCCTCAGATGAATCAAACCCAAACTTCACAAACAGCTTTCTTAAATGCCTGTGCAGCTTGGAAATCTCAGTTTAGTTCAAACATAATGCTACTTCAAATGAAAAAAATCTTGATTTCTGATCAATCTCTTAAATCTAAAAAACCAGTCAGAGGACATTCAACCAATCGGGGGAATTAGTGACATTATTGCCAATATTCCTACCTGTCTTACAGACATGGTACACAGGATGTAGAGGAAAATGAATGAACAATGAGTGTAGTCGTCCCCACCAAGGTTCCTGTGAGATATCCCCTGTAGCAAGGAGATTGGTGTAAATGGCAACTTGGCCACCACTCTGCCATCAAATCTAAATCAAAGCAACAAAAAAGTCTGTCAATCTAAGTCATACAAAGAGAATGAAAACATTACCAAGATATTTCTAATATACTGTCTGCATAGCTGAAGAACAAAGAAGGTTAACTTCACTTAATCCAAGGTCCTTTATGCCATGTTTTTATTCTTCAGGATATAACAGCAGGTTTTAGAAATCTGAAATAATCAAATTAAAATGGGTTTCCGGACTGGCCCCTATATATTTTACCTTTTATGTCGATTAGATTTTACTTTTGACATTTAGCACTATATGGAATGTCATAATGATGGAGGTAGTTTTATTCACTAACATGAATTTTAAAGATGGTTCAGGGTTACCACAGGGACCTGAGAATTTATAGTCTAAATGAATAAAGATTTACAAGATAGACCATAGACAGTGGTCTGAATATTAATGTAACCCTTCAAAAGTCTAATAACTTACAAACAGATCAGGTTAGGTCCTTATTCACCAAAACATGTCCCTATGATTGTTACGACACTAAAATAAACCTTTCTCAGTATTTCAAAACCACATGAACTTTATATGTACATGTGTATTGGTTCATAATTTGGATATGCTGTACAGTACCTAGCCGAAAGGTGGAACCGGTATATATTCACTCTTTTTCTTTGTCCATCTTTAACCATATACTCTATGCAAAAGTATGTTTTTTGTAAGATTTAACAGAAGGTCCAAATACATGCATTTATGTAAGACCAACAAGTTTACAAACGTTCACCATATTTATTTTGCAGTAACCCCAGGAGGCAAACACATAGATTCAATGTCAGACTTAATACATGATATGTAATTTGTTGGTCATTCTGTTGAACAGCAATAGACATGGAACACCTGATTACATGCACCAGGTAAGGGTTATTTAAGAATAAATATATGGTATATCATCTAGATAACAGAACATTATATTCATACTTACATGGAATTGAACATACTAAGTAAAGCTGTGAAAGCAAAACCTATCGCAAACATGGACTTCATTTTCACCTGAAATATACAGAGAAACAAAAATGTATACCTGTCTTTAGTATGATTATTAATGTATCATTAAGTCATAAGTTGGTGCATCACTTAATTCATTATGACACAAAAACAGGAGTGTTTAGCTGATGATTTCTGATCTGATCTCGATTTCTATTTCAAATACACTCCAAAATATCAAGAACTAATATGGACAATACACTGAACATTTCTATTGGTTTTAAGCATAAATAATTAGATCTACGTCTCTTACGATAGCTGCTAAATCGTTTTTCAGACCAGCTCCTAAATACACATTACATGTAATAAGATTTAATAAGAAATGTTTGGATTGACCATTCCTGTTTAGTTTTATTTCAGTCTAAATCTAAAACAGTAGCTGAGTTCACAAATATATATGTTTCATCATTATATTCAATTTTTAGATAAATAAGTAAAGAATAGAATTCCAAAAAGCTAAATAAAAAATATCTCGTTATTTTCAGATATTAACTTGACTACCGAAATGGGGAAAGTATCAGTGAACCAGGCAAAATTTCATATTTGAGTAAAACCTCTACCCATGTCTTCAACTTGAGTAAACAGACACATTCAAATAGTGGCAATGGTACATTTATTAAATTGCAAAAGCAAAAACTTAAGTTAAGAGTTTCTAGACTTACTTGACAAGAGTCAGAAATGAGGTATTACAACCTATGAAATTCTGTTCTTTATCATCAAGTTACCAGCACTATTTGTCAAAAGAAAAAAGTATGACTTATCTCCCTTTTTGAAGTCTTATGATTCAAAATCCTGATAATTTTTCTTGTATTAGATCAGTTAAAAAGAGTGTCCCATAAATTTTACTCCAGGATTAACAACAAATACCACACAAAATTAACACAAGATCAAAGAAATTATCAACATACAATTAAAGGTCTGTGAAGCTTAGTGTGTAGAGCATCAAACTAGGAAACCTCAGAGGAAAAAGAGATCACCAACTTTCCTGTGCTGTAAGGATTGTGTTTTTACTTCAGTTGTTGAAGATAGTATGGAGTGCTCCTTCTGTATGCTGTTCAGTGAGGTAGCTACCTGCTACTCTGTAGAGGACAACTTACCTTTGTAAACAGTTTACCAATTTAAAGTCTATATCAGCTAGTCCAAGGTGAAATAGTGAAATATTTCCTTAACTATGCATAGAACAAGGAATGAAATATTCTGGTACGTACAGTTAGCATCACCATACAAATAAAAACAACTTACAAATGATAAATCTCTGTTGTTGTTTTTCAGCTTTTCTTCTTGCCTCTCTGTAAAAACAGGAAGACAACATAGGTGCATTGGAAGCATGTAATATGACTCATTTATGTGAAAATTTTATGATACAAGCCTTCAACTTTTTTTATTAGACAAGCCTTGGCCAAAAATAATAATGATGAGACAAATTTCATAAAATTTCATGTGAAATGATAACAAATCCTAGGGACATTTAATCATATGATTCAGAAAAGGTAAATTATGACAGGTTTCAAAGTAAGCTTCAAATGATGGCAGCCATTTTGTAGCACCATTTTCAGTTAATGATGTCCATATTATAACCTAATAATCAATTTCTGACTGGCACAGCCAATGAAAAAAGATCCAGGGTATATTACACTATTGATGTATGCACAAAATTTAACAAGGGCAAATTCACTAGACAACAGGTAGATTGTGTAATAAGCATTATTAAAATAATCTAACAATTTACTTGATATTATTCAGTAGCCTGTTATATTCATAATGTCAATACATGAACCATGATAACAAGGAGGGATATGGTTTCATCACAGGAAAAAATTATATGAAGCATTAAAAAAACAGGTAGCTTTAGTACAGTAGTTTAAGCAATATCTAAATGTATGAAACATGGTAAATATAGCTGCTCTCTACAAAACTTAACATTTGATATTTGGAAGCTGGTACCTACCTAATTTTTTCTTTTGACTACGATCTGTTGCCTCACCAACTTCCTTTTTCTTTTCCACTGAAAAACAAATGTTGCATTACATGCACATGTGGCTTTGCAGACATTTCTTTAATTCAAAAGTTTGAGCAAATGCTGAGCTGGGAATAAATAAAACTGATTTTCCCGAGTGACTTGGTAGCAAGATGGCCGAGTAGTAAATGAAAGCAAATAAAATGTAAGAAAACAAGGGGCCCAAGGAGCTTGCATCGCTCACCTGACTAATTTAGCTATTCAACCATTTATATCAGATTTACTATTCATAAAAATTGCTTCTGACCAAACTTGGTTAATATCCTTGTATGGAAGAAGAACTTTTAAGCACTTACATTCCCCCAATTGGGCCCATTCCTCCAGTCCTAGAAGGCTGAGATGAACCCTAATAGTTCCCCTTCACCTTAGAATACTTCAGACCAAATTTGGACAACATCCATTTATTCTTACAGAAGGAGTCGTATTTTAAAGAAAGAGCCATGTGAGCTAAAAAAATTGTGGTATTTTGAATAAAAGAAGTGTAAGGTTAAAACTGTCTTCTCGATATATGTATAAACCTGTATTTCCCAACATGACAAAATATTGCAATAAAGTGGTGCAATATTGCAAAACAAAGGTGAATATTGGCAAAATTTTCATAGGCAATATTAAGTATACAAAATCCAAATCAGTAAAATGTAAATACTTGAACTGAATTTCAGAGAAAGTGCTCCAATGAAGAGACAACTTTCAATCATTCCAGTCCTCCACATGAAAGGTAACTGATGGATATCATGATATTTACATACCACTAAAAACAATTACAGAAACTTCCTAATAATTACATTTCTTGCTTTGCTTCTCCACCTCTGCCTTGAGCTTCTTGTATTTGTCTGTTCTGTACACCAGCAGCCATGTCAATCCTTAAACAGATAATTTTAAAAACAATTTCCTCTTGTTCGGCCTTTGACTGCAATATATGTTTCATCAATTCACAATTTTAAGAAACCACAAGACATACTAACAACACTAAATGTATTTTCTTTTGTAAAATGCGACGGAGATTCAATTGGCTGACAATAGAGGTCATTATGTTTTAGGATAATGAAATGTTCTGCATATTATAGATATATAAAAAATATAGGGTATCAAGAACAGAAATGTCATGACAAACACAGTTCGATCTACTATATCTAAAATGTATTCTTTGATAGCGTGTGTTTAATACAATATTATAAACAACTAAAAATAGAGCCAACGTCAGTTCCAGGTGTGAGGGTTGATCAGTGGGGTGCTGCACATTGGGTGTGGATACCAAGAGGTATGCAGGGCGATGAAGTAAAATATCAAGATTAATAAAGGTAGAATTCAATCACATTATAAATTCCCCACTAATTGGTGACGCTTGGGTATGTTGTGATTGAATTCTACCTTTATTAATATTATAAACATTGATAATATATGTACAGCTGTATTTATTTCAGTATAAATGGAAGTTGATAATTTAAAAAAAATAATATCTTAAAAAAAAGATGAGAACATCAATAATTGTTTTTTGAAAATCTTTTTTACTCCTTCAAAATATGTACCCAGGATTGTTTAAAAAAATTTCTTACGGAAATTCACGTGATGTGAACAAGAAATTATGAAACCGAAATTATTTAGGCGTTTGTCTTTGTTTTAAGTGATACAATCTGTGGCTTAAACTGGATATAACTAACAAGTTTTTTTTTTCATAATATTTATAAATTTGCAGCATAGAGAAAAATAGAGGAGAGAAACCATTATTTGAGAAAATGTTATATCTAACCCTAATTTGAATCAAGAAATAATGTAAAATGATACTAATATTGATCAAGATTGCTGTAAGTAGATTATCTACAATTGAAACTACATATGTTGTATATTGACAAAATATTGCATATGTTCATAAATATTGCGTAATCTTAAGTATAATCAAAAATAGATTTTCTGTGCATGTCAACTAAAATGCATATACCATCTATTTATCGCCAAATTTATTGATGTTTTTTCTGATTGCTAAACATTTGGGCAGGAGTTACAACAATAACGTTGTCTCTTGGATATAGGGAACCAGGATCAAACTAATGCTCCATATCTAAAATAAATAAAAACATCTTTCCCTCCTTAATAATGAGAAAGGTGTGGGTTATGTTTATGTTATTTCAAAAACAAATTATGTTATTGTAATTTAAATAATGTCTCATCCACTGATGCGAAAGCATTGTGTAATCTGTGGTAATCTAACTGAACAAAAAATAAGCATGGATAGGAACGGTACCAAGCATGGTTTTATCGGGAATTACCATTTGAATGAGTTAAGTACGTGTAAGAGTGGAAGTGTGAGTGTGTGTGTGTGGGGGGGGGGGGGGTTGGGTTAGTGTTGCCAATTCACTTGTTTTTGACAAGTAAACACGAGTTTTACCATATCATTGCCTGCTTAAGTAACCAAAAACGCTGCAATCTTCCGATATTTCTGTACTTTTGATAAATATTTAAGATTTTAGCCCTAATAATATCTAATCCATGACTAGGCATGAGCCCCTCGGCTTTGGTCATTCATTCTTTCTTTCGCTCATGGTGAATCATTGTGCCCTTCTCGAGCAGTGAATCGGAAATTTAAGTAAAATGAAATTACCCTCTCCTAGAGATGCTGTACACAGAGATATGAAAACGATTAAAAGGCAATCGGCCAGCATTTTTCCTTTGACAGCACCGGTCTACGCATCTACCATCCACGTCCGTATTTTACCGGAAGTACCATATGAAATGTGGCTAATAACAGGAAAAGAAATCCACGGTCAAAGTTACATGCTACATTTTACAAGTTCTGTTTACGGTATTTTTGTGTATTCATATTTTTGAAACAAAGTATGTACTGCAGCCATTTCAATGTATGCTTGAAATTGTGTATTGATTAATACCACAGGTACATCATATTTCTCATTTCACATCAATCCTGTCTTTTTTATATTTGTGTTTTTCACTCGTGTCTTTAGTTATGCCTCAGTATGGCCCGGATATCGTTATGGAGTTACAACAACTTGTTGCTGTGACTGTGAATACTTTGGATAAAAACTTAACGGACGTAAAGGTACAAATTATGATTGTGTCATATTATTATCCTAAAAAGAAATATCAATGTTTCATATTTCGAGGAGAACGATAACTGTCATCTGACATGTAGAATAACCTGAGTTTGTAATATTGCTTATTTACATGGGCACAGATTTGTTGTGAAATGTAAACAAATCCCCAGCAAACTTATGCATCTTTTTCGTAAAAGGCAATGCCATGTACGTAATATTTGTTTAAATACAAGCTGTTGTATAATGCCACTTCTCTGTCTAAATTTGACTACAATGTATACTACAAAACATAAAATGCTTGGAATTAAATTATACATTTAAATTTTTCCTATTCAATAAGCCCAGGAGCCAACTCAAAACACTGACTGGGGATTGGCTTTTTGCAGAGCAGAACATATAGTGTTACCCTTTCCAATATAATTCTGTCAAAATGTGGTGTCCACTTCTTTACCTATCGACCAATATTCATCAAACTAAAATTTGGTTTCTACTGAAGTTGTTTATAGTGGTTATTCTGAAGGGTCAATGTCAACCAAGACAAAAATAAAATCGCAGAAGAAAAAAGGCAGAAGTCTTTAGACTAATACTTTTGAGAACATAAGTTGGATGGATGCACAACTTAGCCTGTTTGAAAGTTACAATGGCCATTGAGTCTAGACAAAATTGCAACAAATTCTGAGTTCCAATTCATTTCAGATATTGAAGTGAAAGATGCAGGTAAAATTATTTGGTTTTGGTCAAGTTATTTTTTCCAGAGTTATGGCCCTTTGGCTTGTAAAATTTAAAATTTGATGTCAACCAATACCAGATACAATCTGAAAAGTCACAAGTCCCTCTTTTAAAACCAATAACACTTCAAAAGTAAAATACATTAATACTTCTCCTTGGTTTTTGCAGGTGCATTCAAGTCACATGAACACATCTAGTTCCTGTTATGTATATGTATGTGTGCAGATTGACTAATGGGCCTTTTGTCATTTACCAGACATGGCTGCATGGGCTTAACCCAGCTTAACTGGGTACAGATACCAAGTCAGATTACTTAAACTAATGAATTAGATTTAAACATTCAAAGTGATTGTGGCAGTATGAAGAGAATTCAGAAGAGCAATGAAGTTTCTGTTGATACTATAGATAGAACAGAAAAATGAAGAATAAATCAAGTGGTTGCATATATATTGTTGAATGAGTCCATCTCAAACTTGGTGTGAAGATACCAAACAGGCCTGGTTTCATCATCAGCTAAGGTGACCTTAGTCTTTCTATGGATGGATGAAACTCACTTTAGTAGCTTGTAAACCGTGACAAAAATGACTAACTCTTGTACATGAGCAGTCCATGAACTGTAAAGTAGCACATAATTATATGAGCAACATAGTAAGTAAATTAACTTCAGCACATGAACAGTAGTCTAAGTAAAGTTTATGTTTTTGTTAACAAGGAATTTCTCACCTTAGTGATCATGATCATGTGCAATGATTTTGTCACATGAGTCTGAATCATTGTGATTTTTTGGTAAGTGCGCCAGCACTTAATTTAAAATTACTGCATGGATTTTATTTTGATATGTGTTTTCAGGTGTCTGTGGCTTTACAAGAGGACAACACAGTTCTAGGAGAAGATGTCAAAAGGAAAGTCTGTGAAACACTTGGTAATTAGTTTCCCTTTTTTCAATATCATTGAGAATTACAATGTATTAATCTTGAATGAACAAATGTCAATAATAATGTTTATCAAACTTTTCGGGGAATGATAGATGCTACATCTATATGAAAATTTCGAACAAAGAAAGTAGTTGCCAACTCAGGTTCACCGCTAAACTATTAGAAATTGATGAACCATATCCTTCGTATACCCTCCAGAATTTGAATCTATAAGATGCTCTCTACTTTGCATCAGCTCTTTACCTCAATCTTTTACCTACAACTTGGACAACAAGGACAGATCTTTAATGAACCATATGTTGACACAATGTTCCATTTCTAGATGCAGAATTAACAACCCAACTTTCCTAACCTACCATGTTGCCATGTCATGGTTCATTAAAAATTCAAGAGCTGGTTCCTGATATTACAATTTCTGTCAAAGATATTGACAACAGACAGATAAAAGTCACAAGACATTTTTTTTTTTTTCTAAACCTGATTCTCATCTGAAATTGTAATGTTTCTTATCCAGGTTGACCTAGATTAATATTGCAGGATTAGCCAATAAGCAGATGACACCTGATACCTGGTCTGATTCTCTATGAATTTTTCAAGGGTCTCTTGCCCTCAATTCATCAATTTTGAGTTTGAACTAAAATCTTGTTAGCATGTTGGTATCCTGTTGTTGTATGAAGTAGTATTACGAATTAAGGATGATGTACTAACATCATATAACGATGCAGAAAGAATGATGAATGTAATAATAGTGATACATGTGTTACAAGTGAGAATTTCTGGAATCATTGTAATGGCCTGATGGTGATTACATTATCCTTTATTTACTTTATCTTAGGTTTGAAGCCAAGGAGCCATGATTTGTTTTCACTATTTACCTGTGACACAAATGCTAAAATCTTACAACGTGTTCGAGACACAGATCACATTTTCTGTCCAGTTAAAGGTAAGGTGAAGTTTATAGTATAATATTGATTACATTGCTATTTATAAGATCAGATTAAGATTATTATTGAACCAAGAGTTTTATTTTTCTTTGTGCAGACTTTATGTGATATAAAATCTCCCGATGAAAAGCATAAATACAATTTTCAGGTAATAATTTAAGATAGCGAATATAAAAATACATAGGAGAAATGAAAGAATTATTGAAATAACTTGTTTCTTTTCATGAAAGTTGATCATTTTGTAGTTGACCCAGTTTAGTGAGGTAGTTAAGTCGGTTAATGCATCTGTCAAGAGTTAGTCTAATTGAGGTCCTTAAGGTCTGAATCTCAGTCTAGCTCTATTGTATTTTCTTTTTCCTGTGCTGCTTGTAACTAGCCCTTGTCGTAAATAATGGTTGCATACTTATGAATAGTGTTGTCTTAGAGATTGAATCTTTAAAACGAGAGAGATGCATGAATTTGGAGCGAACCAGGAGACTACCAGTAGCCTGCAAGTAGTGCAACTTATTGGAATATTAGTGCTGGGTGTTTTAAAGTCTGGGAATTTAATTAGATCTGGTTTGGTAGTGTTTTGTCTTTTAGGCTACTGTGCCACTATGCCTATGACAATAACTTTGCTTCAGTGGTAGAATATCTGACTAGAGGATACCCTTACCATGGTTGTACAAAAGAAATAGAGCCTTATTTGATGATGAAACTTTTGTATAAGGAGAAAGGAGATTAGCCCAGATGGTTACCAGGCAAGTAAATTCATCTGATTATACAGTGCCTTGTTTATAGAGGTCATAGTTTACAGGTTTTGATAAAAGTCTTGTTTCATTTTGCCTCTTGTTACAAAAACAGCTTAAAGCTCATTGTGAATTGTATACAATACATGCTATATTTACCTGCAGGTCTGGTGTTAAGAAAATGGTGCTTTACCCAGAAACAAGAAAATCAGATCATCATAGATGATGCAACAGCATGTCATTTAGTGTTTTCTCAGGCAGAGCGGGACATTAAAACAGGTATTAATGATGGTGATGATGATGATGATGATGATGATGATGATGAAAACAGATCAGTTTTGACAATAAAGTGATAAATATATTTGGTTTTAATTGATAGTTTTTATGATTGAATCTCAGTGATCATATTAGATTACATCAATATATTCTTAAGATGTCTCTTTCTTACCAGTTTAAATTTGATAGATGTATTGAGGACATTTTTTAAATCAAAGTTATATGAAGAAAGCATTGGAATGTGACAGTTAATAAGTGTGGAAAATCATGGCTTCTATCAAAAGTAACATAATACTTCATGATACTTAAATAATAATGGACAGTTATATTAAAATCTTCATTTCATGGAGTCTTCTAAGGCTACATTATAAACAAAACCTGTCTAAAGTGACCACTTTTGGGAGGAATATAAATTGGTTGCTAAAGTCAGGGTCATTACATATTAGCAGGTGCAATTTGCTTTTCAATATTATACAGATCAACAGTGATTTCTGAGGCAATAAATTTTATTTCTTCCATAGGGAGACTTGTGCCTAACAAAGAACAAGAACAAAAGCTTGAAGGTAATGGATATTACTTATAAGAGGAGGACTAATACATTATACATATATATATATATATATATATATATATATATATGATCTCCCTTTACTGGTTAAACTAAATCAATACTGTGTGTAATGCTATTTAGGGGGAAATCATGTGATCAATTGATTTGAATTTGACATTTTGTATCCAATGCTTTATTATTTGTCAAAATAATTTAATAAGACAATTTTAGTTTTACATGGGACCAATTTAATGTCTTATTTCTGTTGTGAAGTTTTCCTGTTCCCAATTTTTAGGGGAAGGGGGAAGCATATAGTCACCATCTTGTATAGTCACCATCTTGTCTGTCCTTCTGGCCATCCTTATGTTTGAATAATGACTTTTAGAAACTTTTAATCAAATGGAACAGATACATTATGTGGTGGTCAGAGCTTGAATGTTAATTTGAGATTTATTTTTAATCGTCTTCTGAAGTGCAAATGATTGATTTGAATATTTTGCACTTCTGATTGATTTAAATTTAAAATGAAATAACAATTCATGTGCATCAACCATTTATAGCTGTTTACTTCAGCCATCTTCTGCTGTATGCAATAAAGATACTGACTTCATTCATGGTTTTTATTGGACTTGTTTTGGTAAAATTGTTACTATAGCCTTATCTCTACTTTGTATATTCACAAATAAAGAAATAGAAAATGGGCTTTTGTAATTGGTGTAATATAAAATTTCAAGTTTCATATATACTTGAAGAACTTTGTTTAGTATTGATTTGAATATTTTCAGTAGCCTTGTTTTCCTCTCGGCTGCTTTGTACAATCTTAATTCTTTTCAAGGGCTAAAGATACTAATTGTTGGAAATGTAGCAGGAAGTAAATAGGATTTCTACTTAGGAAGCGTTGTGTTGCTTTTCAGGATTAGTGGTTTATACGTAATTTTATTGTTATTTACATTTACAGAATATTTGGACCCAGGATTTACCATTGAGGCACAATACATATACCTTTGTCAGTCAATGAAGAACTACTTTTCCATCAGGGTAGACAATTGTATGATGTCTCTGAAATCAGAAGATGAATTTACTCCAGTAAGCAGAATATAGTCATCCAGATTTGTTCATGGATAATAAGTATAAGTACAACTGCAATTTGACTCTGATCCAACCATATTTTTTGGCTATATATCATGAATAAGATGAAATATATCATTAAATGTGTTTATGAAATGTGCTTAGATATTCTAAGATAGGATATAAAAATACAATGAAAATCACAAAACTTTTGGAATCACTTCCATGAACTGCAGGCTCATTCCCTTTACAAGAAGTTAGTTATTGTTATTTATATCAAAATAAACAAATTAAGAATTATACTTATATTACATGTATTAAAGCATTCTTAATAATTTCAGAAAAAAATCTTGTAAATTAAAGTTTTATCAAAAGCTGATGTATTCATTTATTTGAAAATTTCAGTTAGAGCTGGTTTCATAATTTTCTGTGCATTCCTCTTCAGCTTTCCCTCTCTGAACAGCAGGTCAGTGTGGAGTTGTCCTCAGAGGGTGTTGTAGTAGACACAGGTCAGCATTCAGTAACAATACCACTCTTCTGTGTGAGAAGTTGGAGCATTAACATTGTTTCCAGTCTCATACAGTACACTTACAAGAGCCGTGCTGACCCAGATGTTATCGTGATTTTAGAAACAGACCAGTTTCGATATCTACATGCAGGAACAATGGAAGCTATCAACGATTTTCGTGTAAGTAGATTCTGTGGTGATGTTACTCAAATTTTCAATATACAGTTTAATTCTTTTAATTTATTGTCAGATACAGGGATTTATCAATTTTATGGAAAAATTAAATATTCACTGTAGTGTTAATGTTAAAAAATCTGAAAGAGATCATAATGTAGCAGCTATATATGCCTATTGAGTGACCAATTCATTATTTTTTTTATCGTTACATACATATATGAATGTCCTTAATCATTTATTTGTGTTATAGTACATCATTATCCCTCATCATTAACTTTTCCTGTCCAAAAGAAAGCATACTATTTATAGCTGGCTGTGTACTCATGCATTATGATGAATCGGACTCGGCAACAAAATTAAGGAGTGTCATCCATTGTCCTTTAAATGGAAAATTTCCTAAGTCTGTTATTTTATTCTGAATCCCATTTAAAATGTATCAACTGTTTTTTCTTAGATAAAACATAATGATTCTTCAAGCTTCTTCTCAAGTATGACCTCCACATCAGCAGATGGCACCATCACCATCCAAGAAAATGCTGTGTTTGATGATGACAAGGCGAAGAAGTGTGGTATAGATTTATCTGATCTCATATAATAATTAAAGGCATAGATATATACACATCATTGTGTTTTCATATCTCACATTTTAGCATTTACTTATACAGGATAACTAAAGTGAAATCACTGTAAAACAGTTTTTGTTACTGATTTTTTTATTATTGCATACATATATTAAGGGTATCACTGTATATGTATGAACAATTACAGTTGGTATTTGCTGAAATATGAACACAAAGAAGTTAATTAATAATTATGAAAGGAAATGCTTATCAGCAATCTGGATATATAAACTTTTGTGTGATATATTAAAACACATGTTAACAAAACACTACCGCAAGCAAACAAAAATGGCTTCATGTTTGAATTCGGCAGGTCAGTGTTGGTGATTAATTGATGCCACATATTTCATAATTTGGGATTGACTTAGAGTCAATAACATTACAAAGTCTGGTGCTGAAAAATGTGATTTTACTTACTGTGTCACTACTGTCACTGTCATCTCTTGTGTTCTTGTTCACAAAATGAACTGCCTCCAAACTAATATGTAACATTATCAGACTAAATTTGAGAGGGGTTTCCTGAAGCAACTGAATGGTCAAGCTGGACATTTGATATTGAAATCATCACGATAGCCTAGAAATGGAAATATATAAAATCTGTACAATTAATGACAAAATCAGTGTTTTTACTGTGGTGTCCCTTTAATAGAACCAAAATTGTGACAACGATATTCTAGAAATTTTGTTATGTTTATGTGCCATCTAAAGAGAGAAGTTTAATGTGCCATGGAAAATTCATTTTTTAATCAGCAACTTTATCAACAATATTTCAGACAAATGTATAAGTTTTAAAAAGATAGCCTATGAAATGATCACACATTTATTAATATTTTTTTTACTACCTATGGGATATTAGCATTTTATCAATATTGAAATACAGCTGATGTTTACTTGTTTGTTCAAATATATATTTCAATAAAATTTTGAACAATAAGATTTAATCAGATGCACATTAGCTCAGCAAACAAAGATACATACCGGTACATTATTATGTATCTGACTTGAAGTGCAAATTTTCTTGTAGGTTCTCAGGATCCTTGTGGAATGACAAAATACTTCAAATTATCCATGTTCCAATATAACCAGGGACAAACTTGTTTGACTTTGTTTGCCGTTCTGTAAACATGTACAAACATTTTTTTAAAAAGTTTGATATAGGTTTGTTTTTTCATTTAGATTTATAGAAGTTGGTCAAGGTATGAAAGAGTATGAAACGTCAGGCATGTATTCCAAGAACCTCATAACAGTCTGAAGTCCCTGGTGTGTTACTTTTGTTGTTGGTTTACTACATGGTAGGGGTCAGTTATTGTCACTGTCATTACATTTTCGATATCTTCATCGACATCGGAATTAACATTTTTCTGTTTCTGAGAAATATTTCCCGTTTGAATATCTTCCAAAGTCACATCCTGTTTCTTCAAAATTTCTTTGAGTTGTTTACTTTTTTTTACTGAAGGATGCCATTACAAATGCTGTTCTGTTTTCTATTCTTATGTAGACTGAGTTAGTCGTGTGTCCAAAAAGCAAATGCAACTCACTGATTAATATTCACAATTTATTTCTTTTGTACCCTCAATTGTGGGATAAATTGGCTTTTAAACTAAGCGATGTGAAAACAATTCTTTGTGTTGCCGAAGGATGAAATTTACCTTTCAAATAAAGCAGGATTTCAATTTAACCAAGTTCAAATTACGTGGTATATAAATACAAAGACAAAAAAGACATTTGTCAGGGGAGTTAATTTTATTTCAAATTGAGCAGTATTTCATCATATCAGAGCTCAAATTAAGTGGGTTTGACTACATTTATCCTGCAACTGTCATCGCCATTGTCAGAACACACCTGACACATATATTTTTGCTGTATTAGACTGATCTGAAAACAGCAGTATTTTAGCATGTGCATTAATTGGATAGAATTACTTTATGATGTACTGAGATATTTCTATTGTAAATATTTTATAAATATAAATACCTGTTTAAATAAGCAATTATATTTGTTGTAACAAGCAGGTTTATTTACAAAAAAACATAAAATTTCTTTATATATTCATTGAAATGTTGAACTACATTACTGTATGGAGCAATTATTTTGATGTGTGTCACAGGTAAAATTCAGTATAACATCAACATTAGGTAATCAGAGATTGAATAAGCCTAACAAACTGCTGAAGTTTGGATAGTCTGATTTTTCTGTAGGTGTTTTAGAAGAATGAATAGAATACACAATCAGTGTCTTAAAATATAAGCTGCTCGTGACAGAAAGACAAAAATGGGAAGCAAAAGACTCGCCACTTTTGTCATTCTTCACCCTCTTATATTTTAATAGACTGACCATGTATGTCTATGTAATCTATTCTTTACAATGTGATGTCTGTCACTGGATGTTTTCATCAGTCATGTTGTTGTTTATAGTGCCTTTCTCTGATACCAGATAGCCAGAACCATAAAATCAGGTGCATCCTATAAAATTTTGTTTTTCAATTACACTGTACATGTACATGTGGTCAATAAATGGCAAGTTTGTTTTTAAAGCTTTGGCACATTATGAATATTGAAAATGTTTCACAATACAAAAAGTATGTACAAGACTATTGCTGTTAACTTTTGTTAAATTTGACTGATTTTATGTTTACTTCACTGTGCAATAAAAATAGCAAGACTCAAATTAATGACATTGTATAAATCAAACTTTTTTAATATACTATTACACAATCATGCTATGAACATCTGTTGATAAATCTAAAAATCCTTTGTTGTATGTAATACAATGTTTACATTGTGATCTTGTGTACTGACATATCGTTACCATTGTGTCAAATTTTATGCAAAAGAAACATTTTGTGCATAATAATGTATATACTGATGTCATATTTGGAGTGCCTCATTGTAATTACCTATGCACTAACCATATGGTATTGGTACAAAAATATTTAAAATTTTGTTGTTCTTCTTCTCTGTTATATATACAATCACAGTGAATGATAATTCTCAAATCAATCATCATTCTTTTTATATATATTTACTTTTGTTAGATTTCTTTAAAGAAATGTCTTTTATATCATGCTACATGTATTATAAAAAACTTGTTCTATTTTTGTTTCTTTTTCCTTATACTGGAATGGATGTGATACATCCAGAGAGAGTCTGCAAGCAGACAGAGAGAGAGAGAGAGAGAGAGAGAGAGAGAGAGAGAGAGAGAGAGAGAGAGAGAGATATAAGTGTACTGATAAATGTTTTATGGTTTTATTAGACTATTAGACAAGTACTCTGAATTTTATTCCCAAATGTCAAAATTAAAATGACATGTTTCAGATGTAATTGATTATATTCCTGTTTAGTTTACCATAAGCATACATGATTCAGTGATATGTGGTCAGATTCAAAGAAATCTCCATGTCTTATACATGTACTTAATTGTATAGCAATTATTGGTGTTTGTGCTCACAGGGACATGGTGCAGATGATTCCTGTACCTGTCACCATAACATGTGGTATTTGTTTCAGGTTCAGGATTTCAGGGAAAATTTCTATAAGATATCCATTAGACTTATAATTAATTACTGTATAAACAATGTTGACATATTTGTTCAATCTTTGACATTTTTCTCATGCACTTAACACTATGATACATGTAGTATCATGCAGATATTTGATATAAATATTCTGACAGAATGTCCTTTTTTACTTCGATTAAGCCCAACATATTTGGTAACATTTTACGATATGAAAATCAGACATACCAACATAAATGTAAAAAATATGTCATCATGCAGATTTTCGGTTCATGTTTTAAATGAAATTGATGTACTGCCTGGAGTTTCCCTTAGCTTAAGGACAAGGATCATGATGCAGCGTTTTTTCAATATTGACATTAATTTATTAAATCTGCTGTTTTAGTTTTGAGGTTAAGGTCCAACAGTAAAATCTTACTCTTTTGCTGTAACATTAGGTCATGCCATTTTGAAGCAATATTGGAGGAATCAAGTTGATATTCCACAAATTTTACGATATGATATGGACAAACTGTCTTACAAGTGACATCTGACAAAAGGCAATCAGTATCACCGACCTCTAGTCATCTAATATCTGGTCATACCCCATCAAAGGGTGTTTTAAAGGGTCTTCATGGAAAACATTCTCAATACTCCAGGGGTTACAAAGGGGTGACGCCCAACTTCAAAGCCATTACAACATACTGTTGTGTGACCTCAAGATTCATTTGATGTACATCAAAAGATCAAACTAGACTTTTCTTCTTGTCCACAAGGTGTTGCACATGTAACCTTCAATTTTGCCATGACATGTTCCAGGGTGCAGAGAGCGAAAGTGATCACAACTTCTGGAGTATTGAGGATGCAAGGAAAAAGGTCTTATGAACAATTCTGTTGTATAGTTATCACATCTACTGGCATTGAAATGTTTGAACATTTTTTTGACTAGTTTATATCCAAAAATTATTAACAAAAAATTTTATGTTCTGGTCAAAGTTATGAAATTATCGAGTGATTCAGCCTTTTCCATGATTTTTACCTGATAGACTCTTCAAATGTCTCTTGTCTTAGCACATACACTTTGCTTACTTTTAGGACACTCTGTGTTCAGGGTACACATAAATGTTTAAAATAACATATTTTTATTACATATCGATAAGATATACAGAAAAATAAGATGACATATTTGTTAAATTATTATGCAGGCACCTGTGTTATGTTTTATCAGACATCTGATGATTTAAAAGTTATACACAAAGGATGGAGGATCATAGACTGCCAGTAATTATGAAGTTTATGTAATGAAATGACATTGATACATTTACAAGGTAACAGAGATAAAAGATGTAAGCCTTTTGTACATCTCATGAAAATATAACGTTCATATCACTGCATAGCACATGATATTGTCATTCCTCCAACATGCCAGAAATAAATAGGGGAGGTCAGTCATAAATTTTTTTTTATGTCTAGATATATAGAGAAGAAAAAGTGATAGTACAAGGAAGTTTTTGACAGTTTTTCCAAGAAAGGTTTGGAGATCACTAAGCAGAATGCAAACTATTTTTAGATGTCTGTAAATTTAATATACCTTTTTTAGTAATCTTGCATCAGTCTGTGATATGTACTTTTTCAGCTGGGTGTGTCTATCATGTTTCACCCATAGACCACTAAATGATTACATTTGTGGTATTTTGGGACATGTTATAAGCATTGTTAACAGTACAGTGTTTTTTCTCACAACACCTGTACTTACTGAACAGAGAGAACCATGTAATTAGTAGGAAAATAAACATCTTGTTTTAAGTATCAATATTTACACGTATAAATTGTGTAAGAGTATGTGTACATGTATTTTGAATTGTGTAGCATTTCACATTCTCATTCCTAATAGAGTTTTTTCATAATTTTCTTTTCAGTAGAAAACTACCTACATATACATGTATAAGTAGAACATACTACCAGGAAAGTATAACTGTTTGAATGTGTTGTGTCATTTATATACTCAGAAGCTGGGAGATTATATTCTATTGAATACAGAAATTTGTGTCATTTTTGTTAGCTCACCAGTTTCACATGGTAGGTTTGCTTAAATCATCCTTTGTCTGTACTTTGTCTTGTCTGTCATCCTTAAACAATTGTTATTACTATTTCTTAGGAAGTACTCTTTGGTTCTTCCTCCATTCTTACTATCCTATCTTGTATTCTAATAAACCAGAGATCCAGGTTCGAATCTAAGCACGATTAGCGCCAATTTAGAGACTCTGAAATAATACTTGCAATGTAGCCACGCACCATAAGCATTGCTGTAACTTTGCAGGGTGGAGAGATTGTCGCAATTTACCTAGATAGGGCTATAGCTCGATCGGTTGAGTGTCAGACTAGAAAGCCAGAGGCCCCGGGTTCGAATTCTAGCGGAGGTATTAAAATGAACTAGGACTTCTGTTACACTTTTGGTTTTAAAACCAGAAATACAGATACATTGACATTTCTGCTGTCTTGTTTGTAGTCCGGGAACATATAGCAAGATGGAGTCGTCTTTTGTCTGGTTTTTAGATCATTTAATAAGCAGATGCAAATATTCAACCGGAAGACTTAACAACTGATCATTTGAAAGTGACCTTTATTGGAATTCCGAGAATAAAACAAAGACTTTCCCGAATATAAAAATATACTCATATACCAGTATGGATGAAGATATCCAATGGAATTTAAGGTATTGACTTTTGTACATTTTAAACGTCGTATTATTCCGATATCTATATGGTTATATATGCCATTAGGAAGTCCCTTCCGTTGAAATACATTTATAGTTTTGAACTTATATCTTGATGTTTCCTGTATAAATTAGAAATGATACACACTTCAAATGTTTTTAAGCCTGTCATTGTAATATGTATAACATACCAGCAGGGAAACTAGTATAAAATGGTAACGCAATGTACCTTGCATCACACAAGCTTCAAATTCTCCGGAACGGTCCACTCGGAATTGTTATAGCTTCTCTCATAAATCTGTCTCAGATTTCATTTCTGGGTCCGATTAATCTATTTCGAATAATCAGAGTTCACTCCTTATTTTTTAATTACATTCGTAAAACGTGCCAGTGCTGGCAGCAATAATCAAATTTACAGAAAACCAGTGCACCTGTTCATGTTTTCACAGGCCTTGTAGGATCAGCAACTTGTCAAGTACAGTTGTAAACGTACTGGTAATAAATTATGTGACTGTGACCTGTTTTATTATTTTATAACTATTTTCTCAATTATTGTAATTTGCACGCCCCCCTTTACACCAACAGTGTTCTTTTTATTGTTTTCTTTAATTAATTTTCAGCACGTGACTAATTGTAAAATACAATAGAGCTGGACTTAACACCAATTCTGGATCCTACGCTCACCCTTTCTGTTACTGATATTTTACGACCGCCGAACTTGAGTCATGCTTTTGTACACTTGTCAGTATTCTAGTATAAAAAGAAAGGACAAATAATAGTTGTAAGGGGTCAAAAGCCCAGTAGGATATTTTCAGGAGTCTTCACCTGATTGTTTTCGTGAATTCTAACACATCAAATAGAAATCAAACTATTCGTGAGACATAGACATTTTATTGATACGAACAAAATAATAAAACAATGTCTGTCTAATGGCCAATTAACTTAATTTGATGATGTGACTGCCATGCCCGTCCCAACATCGAGGCTGTCCGTCACATGCTTGGATGTAATACTCACCGGAAGTCTTGTTGTAACCCATATCGATTGTGTGTTCGTGAGACTGGTCGGTGGATGTGAATACAGACACGATATTACCGGCGGCTAGACTGCTCATCTCTTCGTGAGATATATACATTTCGTGCCTGTGGAAACCTGGAGGATCCTGGTGTGTGTATTCCGTTACAAAGTGACCATCAGGAAGACTTGCGTGAGCAGCAGATGTAGCGGTTGGCGGTTCAGCGAAGTATGAAGAATATTTCGACATGTGGTTGATCATTTCGACCACGGCAGCAAGACCCTTTCCCGCTGCGCTACCCTCCATATGTACGGGAGTAATCGGATACCTCATCCTCATTCGTCCAATTCCTTCAATTGTTGGAAGCATTATGCGAGTGCCGGATGCAACAACCTTTCTGACGACACCGTGTTTGTCGAGAACTCCAACAGCACCCTTATCCGTGTCAGCACGGTCTGTCTCACCAGGCTTGGCAGAGCTGAAGAACTCCGCCGGTGTCTTGTAAAAGTACTTGCTGTTTGTACCGTTGTATGCCTTATCTGGTGTAAGTTGGCCATTTCTCTTATAGTGTTCAGTGATAACGAGTGTATTCTTCTGAGTAAACTTTCCGTAGTCAGGCAAATCGTATGGGTTCCAACTATATAATGGCGTCGTATACACTATCTCCAGTGGAATAGCATAGGAGTATTGGGCTGAATAATGGTGACATTGCTGGTGTTTGTGGCAATCGTCGATTTGGATTTTTGCAATTTGAGGTTGAGTTGTTTGAGCGACAAACAGGTTTTGATCAGCGAAACCTCTATGGATAGTCTTGGTTCCCATGGCTCCTTTGCTATCGTACTTGAAGTAGCGATGGTAGTAGCCAGTGTTTAGAGCAGTGTTATTGATCTTATCTCGAGCATCAAACACGGTCATGTTGAAAGAGTGATCATTTAGTACCGTACCGTAATTGTTTTTGCCTGGGATTTGCATCATGATTTGATCTAGGAGTCCCAAGTTGTACGGTCTATCTCTGAATGTACCGTAGCCAAGATCGAAGTCGTACGTTCCATCCCTAGTGAGCGCAGCTAGTTTGAAACGGGCAGATCGACTTTGAGCGAACTTCTTTATATCAAAGTTATGTGCCAATCTGGAGGCTATGTCGTCAATAGGTGTAAGTACAGCTAGTGGCAGATCATCTTCTAAGGGGTGACATAGTATTCTGTAGTTCCATTGAGCATATTCCGCAGTTCCGTTGTTCACATTTATGATAGTGGAAGGAAGGTAGGAGAAATTTTCCATATTGTGTTTTGAACCAGAGTAGGATGTGTATCGGATCTTTTCTTGCAGGTCGTACCAGCTGGAAGCATCAATCGAGTGTCTATCGCTCTGGAAAGGTTCGTTCAGTGTCTTCGTGCTTGTCGTCCATGCCCCTTCCATGTAGCAGAGGTTAGGTTTAAAGTATGGCCTGTAGTCTCTATGCTGATGATTTTGGTAATGGAATGCCTTAAAGTATTCCTTCATCTCAGCGATTTGCTCCGCAATAGTGTGTTTGTGTAAAACTGATGGAGGTACACGGGGAAAGGGGATGTCCTGTATGGCATTGTATTGCTTACTAGTTTTGCTCGGCATCCTCAGTTTGTAGTCGTTGTGTCGGGTACGGAACTCAACACCATTCATCACGACAATTACTTCTCCCATACCAACGGTTCGGTCATAGTTGGAATGGTCATGGATGGAATTAATGGATCTACCCGTGTAAGACTCAGAAATGTAGGGTGCAGTACCGTCGTGAGAGTGGCGCAGTTGTTTCACTCCGGAGTCACCATCGGACCTAATGCGTTCTTCAACAAACAGTTGCTGCAGCATCACCTGTCTAGTAAGAGCTTCCAACTCGTTTTCCAGTTTCTGTATCCTACCCTTGTCCGAGGTTGGATCTAGGGTAGGGGCTGGCGTGGTTGGTGCATGTGTATGTGGGTGGTGATGGGCGTTATGGTGGGTATGGTTAGCTGCTAGAGTGTGACCAACCACAGCTACCAGTACCAATAAGGAAAACATGGCGGTGTGTCCTGGGAAAATAAAATAAATCTATTAACGACATTTATAAGGCAAATATTAATATTTTGACTAGTGCTTCTCATAAACAAACTATCACAGTTTAGCGCGAAACTTTCGGTGCTAAAAATGTCAAAATAAAATGACCGCTAAATGATGACAGTATACAATATACAAATAAAACTAAAACTTAAGGTATCCGTGTTAATATGGGTGGACGATGTTTGGAGGCTGCGAGATGTTTGTCCATTATACCATTTAATAAATTGCGGTACAAAATAGTTAACAATAGTCGGTAACTGAAAGTCAATGTTGTCCTGTCTGATGTTGATAATAGAGATAAATCCAACTTTATTTTACCTCATTTAAATGTGTACATGCATGGATGTCAGAGTCATAACAACAAATAATTGTAATCGTTGTACTAGATATCAAGGTCAGATTAATTTTGAATAATATATCTGCCTCTTTGTAGAATCTAACCAATTTTATCGGTTCACTGAATGGAGTCTAAAACGTTAAACTTGATATTAGAATTATTCACAATCATAGCATGATCAGCTGATTACTTGCCTGTTACCACAATGGCCAGGGCGGTCTTGGTTTATCCAGAAGAACTGCTGTCTGTGCGTGAAAGACTCTCTCTTATATATAACTCCGGCGGGATCTAATCTTGCCATAGGTTGCGATCTGAATGTTGGACGTCGGAAGGGTCAACATGTAAACTAAAATGGAAAGGTCGGTTTCTTATCAAATCTCGAGTCACTGAAATGTTCTGTTATATAAACCTCTCAGCAACTGTTAGAACGCTGCCATAAGTACATCTCTTTTTTACTCGAGAAATTTCAGTTCAAATAGACAACTACTGTAACCTTTATCTATATCGACCCAATTACGTGCCTTTGTCGATAAAGACCCCATCCAATGGCAACATATGTATTAATTAATTACATGTCTCAATCTTTATCTATATAGACTCTATATAATGAATACTCTACGTGCAAAAATGCCAGTTCATGGCCATACTTGAAGGCACCCCAAAACAAATCCACCGGAGTGCATATCTTAAAAGAGCAAAACACCTTTATTCTTTCATGTTGCTATCGAAACCACTATAATGTCATTGTTTACTAACAACAGAGAATCACAATGGTATTTCCGGTGGACAAGCGATCGTAATCAGACATACCCTATTGGGTATACCCACAAGTGATAGAAAGGAGCAATGGAGAACGTTTCCCTCCCCAACTAGGGGAGTGGGGATCAAATTAGTGACCTTTCGGTCTCAACTGCTGGACTAAAGGGAAATTACCACTAGGCAATGTTAGTAAGATGGCAAGTGTTCTCCAATTCTGCACACATTTAATCCTTTGTTTTGCGTTAGCATTTGCACCAAACTGACAAAGGACTTCGAGGCACATATGTGATGATACAGTGTCATTTTCGTGATAGCAAATTTTGTGTAATTCTCTTTATCATTTCTCAGTCAATATTCAAATAGTCTCAAAACTGATTTACACCGAAGTGAAGTCCCGTAGGCAATACTAGGAAATGGTTCTGACACCACAAAAATGAGGACTGGATGGCACGGAATGATACAAAATGGGGTGTGTTGTGGCCGTTATCAGTTTTGGTTTAAGCATCTGTAAGTGTTGATATGAATTACGATATAACGGTAAATGATTAAGGGGATGTCCAGTAACGTGTCATTCCATGTCGTTCTACATTGATAGATCGTAAATAAAATGAACCACAAAGCTCATCATCGCCTACACCCACCGCATAAATCTTCATCAAATTCTAATACATGTATTGACAAAATCTTCAAATGATAACTTGAAAAAACTATCGGGATTTTATAGGTCGATTATATTTTCGAAACAATCTATTCACCATTGTGTTTATGCAGAACAAAATTGTACAGTCCTATCATGACCTGTGTCATTGCTTGACTTTATCTTATTATCACTAACATGTCTAGGTCAGTTTAGGAAACCATGAAGCAATCTTTGTACTAAATATTTAGCGCTACCAATTTCCTCCCTGTTGTCAAAATTCATCTCTTGTACTTTTCCAGTGCTAAAATTTCTTTAATTCCCAAACCACGGTTTCTAGGGCTGGAATTGAATAAATTCGTGAAAAGTAAGAACACTACCAGTATGATATTTGGTCAGTAGGAAAACAGGTCAAGGTTCACTTCCGTACATGTAAATTCGGTTATCATCTTAAGACACACAAATAAACATTTAGGGACAATTTAACGCGTGATCATTGCGAACCTTCACATTTTAGTACATTTGAAAATCTAAGGATCCTGACTGATAAAAACACTTACCTCTATGTGAAATTAAATACTATACATATCTGTAATAAGATCAATGGTTTTTTTTCCCGCTCGGCTGTTAATCTCATCAGCAATCTGAAGCGATGAAGCAACATCGATACATTTTATACATCATAGGTGAGATGATGGTCGTTTTTTTCTGTTTATCGTCATGCATTTAACCATAGGATGAGAGTCCCATTGTACTAATTATCAATATCAAAGCAATACGTTAATGACAAATGGATAGAACGGTGCTCGTGTGAGTATACTGTCACTCAGATTTCCATTCATAATTCATATTGAAAAAAAATGCATATGTACCGATGTGAGGAAACAGTTCTGAAGTTTACACCATAAGAACATTTGCGTTTCATTAGAAATAGTAATCTGATTTCTTATCCTCTGTTATTCTGTGGGACGCAAGTCGCTGCTGTTATGGAAGTTTTCTCTTTTTTAACACGCGTTGAGAACGAGGTCTGCATTTTCAGCAAAGAGCACTACGTGATTTCTGCAACATCATTGAAATGATTAGTGTTTATGAAGCCTACTTCTATCATTGTACCATAATACAAAATCGTTAAGTGTAAACTGAGACTGGAAATTCAATCGACGAGACCATGGTTCGAAACCTCAAGCTCCTGATGGATGGTGCATTATTAATGCTGATCTGCGTGAGGTTCTCTGTCCACCTCCGCTACAAATTAGGCGGTTCCATATCACATACATGTATATGTTCACAAAATGACTGTTTCACATTTCCTGGCTGGACTTGTTCTAGAATTACAATTTCACAAGCAACTCGCATCAAGCAATAATGTACAGTGAAAACCTCGCTATTAAGACCTTTTTGGGGACTGGACAAAAGTGGTCTTAATAGCGAGGTGGTCTTAATAGTGAGGTGGATCAGATTGACCGCAAAGAACTCTAACTCTGTTTAAAATAAAGAGAATATATATCATTAAGTAATGTACATGTATATTATTCAACAATAATAACTAAACTGTATATAAAATGTTGAATTTTATGAAATACATGTAAAAAAGATAAAATTGGTGAATTGACAGTAGAATAATTATGTATATAGTCCTTAGTTTATATCATAATATACATGTATATTTACATTTTTGTAGTTACATGGATATGAATAATATAGCATAATATCTATATTTAATAACCACATGGCTCCATAAAAATACATTATATACCATCCATGTCCTATCGCACACTGTAGGTAACGCCACTTGAGCGTCATTGACAACAAAATCATTAAAATGATTAAACTGATGTTTCTTTCTATATATAAAACTTTGGTGATGTAAGCTAACATCGCGCATTTATATAACAGGTATAAATAATGATAATATTGTCTACTTGCGCATGCCTAATCATATGTAAGTATCGAGAAATGCAAACAGTGGAGAAGCCAAATTAACATTTCTCAAGAAGCAATTTCTGTCCATATGTTATTTCATATGTATTCACGTGTTCATGTACAGTGACGTCATAAAGACGTCTCGTGAAAATTCAAATGAAAGCCTCGATTTCTTACTTAGAAATTGCACGAGATGATATAAAAGATATCTCACTTTATTTGACGTGTTTTATATAAGATATCTAATAGAGGAACGAGATTTATGAAACTATCAATTTCTCGGATTCTATGACAAAGTGGTCAATTGTGTCTTTGAACAAATGATGGTAACCTTTCAACACAATGAAATATTTAAGATATATAATAAGATATATAAGATTTCTTATAAATATTGTCTGAAACAAATATTCATATTGCCGATGGAATAAAAGTTGGTTTACCTTGGCACTATCATATATATATTACAACATATGTATAAATATATGTGATTCACAAACTTCTCTTTACGATATTGTATTGCATTGATTGAACGTTTCATAGAGCTAGGACTGATGATAGTTTAGCTGTGAACAATCAGTCTTATTCGGATCATTTGCTCGTAACATCACGAGTGTTTAAATATGAAAGCATCCACCAGTTCATTTTTCACTTGAAGAATTTTGGGGAAATTTAACATTTCGATGTTTTGAAACCTGAATTTGCCGTGCAATTAAACTAGGGTTATTTCCCTTGAAACATTTTTTACGGAAATGATCAGATGGGTTGGGTACGAAGTGGACTGATCATTGCACCACAAAAGCTTTATGAGGTGAGCACAAAGAGGAGGTATATATTGCAGAAAAGGGTATTGAGTCTTTATCATCATTTTAAATCGAATATGCATCGTTTTGGAGGAATCGTCGAAAAATATGCTTGTAAGACACAAACGTAGGTCTGTAAGCTTAGGTCATGAGTAGTGTAAAATTTATTGTTGTTTTTTTTTGTAACTGTTATTCAGAAATCAAATACGATAACAAAAACACCGAGAAATAACATTTCAAAGATTCCATTGTGCAGAAAATGGAGGAGTATTAAGCATGTGACCTAAATTTCATTTACATTTAGTTCTGTTTACTTTCGTTTTGATCACCGGATGTTATGTTGCAACTATAAAATAACAAAGTGGAAATGAGGTGGCGTTCCGGATTTTTTTATATGCTTATAATTGCATATTATCATGAGATACTGTTATGTACTATTGACTATAATGCTAACTGTCACAGGATAAACAGGAGTAAGTGTCTGTAAACGTCCTGTTTAATTTGTATTCGTTACTGTCCGTGCATGTACGTGTATGTCCTTATTTGGTGTGTTACCTGTTAGGTATTGTCAGTGTCTGTCCTTATACGGTTGTCTTGAGACGTGCAGAGGTGTGACAGGTGAGGAAGTCGTGCGAGAGTGTGTAGGGTAATAGAACTAGAGATACCCCTGGGTGCTGGGCAGAACCACAGATTAGCCACGTCGCTCTGGACGTCCTCGGGAGTCCGGGCGCCACATATAGCTACGGATGTAAAGCACTGACGCGACCCGACGGTCGGTGATGTGAATTGGTTTCATTCATAAACCAGGGGTACCAATAAAAACTTGAAACACACAACGAATCCTAGTTGATGGTGTGACATATATTTTGACAGTATCTTATCAACTTTAACTTTCATAAACATCAATAAAGTTTCAACTATATAATGAAAATCGTTATCATGAAAAATGTATTGAAAGATTTTTTTTCTCCACCTATCGTATTTAATTTCACAAATTATGAAATTTAAATGGCGACATTAAACAATTTTGCTTTTATTGAGAAACCGAAGAAGCATTTTGATCCATGAAAAAATGATAAATTATATGTAGTACATTTTAAAGAACCTTATCCTAACAATGAGCAATTGATACAATTTTATGATAAATGGAGGAGGAGGTTTAACGAAATTTAGTAAGAATTTTTGGTCCAGAATAACGTTACTTAACAAATGTAATTTTCTCTTGAATATTAACTGGAACACACAAGTATTTGAGGTTTGCTTTTTACACTTGATATCTATGAAACAAGTCGCAGCTCAGTCTACTTAGGTAATATTACACGTGTGCCCATACGACTCAAGACGATAGACCGTTGTACAAAAAAGCCTATGATTTGTAAACTCACATTTCCATTATGAGGCTTACCTGTCACCGTTCATAGTGCCATGCATTTTGTGAAGTCTGTATTTAATATGAATGTGAGAAAGTTAAATCCTAATGCCATTGCAATTAAAAATACCTATAGTGATTAAATAAATGAAATGTTAAAAGAAAAAAATGAAAAAGTTCAATTTCGAACCTGTATAACGTTTACGACAGCCTAACACCAGCTTTTTGGATTCAAAGTTCGAAAATAAAATACATATCCGTTAACATATACGTCTCTCAATATTCCATAAATAATTTTATCAAAGTTAATTGATGGAAATATGTTTACACGGGAAAATATGTAAAATAAGTATAGCACAATCGAAATATAATTATAGATTAAATATGAAAAATATGGATATCATGATCCATCATCTACCGAGAGCATGACAAAAATATGTGTCATTTGGTTTCAGACTTGCACTTTCGTGTCTTAAATGTCAAATATCATCGACAACCTGGTCTCCCGAGCTTTCCTATACAATGCCAAATGATAAATCAACATACGAGTTCCAAATCCTGTACAAAAAGAATTTTGATGGGACTCATCGAATTTCTGAACATACTTGAATTTTACGCTGTGAGATCCATTGTTTTCAGTAAGTTGGAAAGGACTCACGAAAATAAACTGTTCATTGATCACCAGATGTCTGGACGTGAAGAAACGAACGTATCAAAGATAGCTTTGTTGTGCAGGAAGACAGAAACAATCGCCGGAGAGTCTCGCTTTCTCCTTGAATTTTATATTAAATAATTTAATGCCATACGTTAACAGATGCATACATATCCGTCATGGAGAAGCCCATGCTTAATATTTGAGGCAAGTACTCTGTACAACAAGAAACCTGTCGCTTAGAGTAAGTTCGCAAACACTGAAATGAGAAACAAATCAACAAGCAGAAATTTATCTTTATGGTGAATGTTGATTTATTTAGTCATATATCGAAGGTTAAAGCTAAATAAAAACGAAGTGCCGGAACAGATTGGCCGTCCGGAAACCCCTTATACCACTCTACCACAGTGTCAGTATGAACATGATAAACATTAATACATCAACTCTAGAATGGAAACCTACACAAATACTTCATAAGTGTCAATGTACATGTGTTCATTATCGATATATAAATGTGACATGATTGTCCTTACTTCAACGGCTTATTTCATTGTAACATATGAAGATACCTTTTCTCTCCTTCCTACTCTGTTTCATGTCTATACACCTATACGTGATAAAACCTGTTCCTACAGCATATGAAGCTAGGGAATTGTCTGTTTGTGAATATTTCACCGTTCTTTCCCATGTGTTTTCAAAAGCAATTAATTGTCTAATTGCCTGTTCTTTTTATTTTAATTCCGTTTTCACGTACCTATTTACATATTAAAATACAACTTCTTAAAACAATCGAAAGGAAAATGAAGAATTTTGGAGGAAGCAAAAGCTACTTGCTAACAATTTCTTTGTCAATTGCAGGATGGCATGAGGAAGTAATTTAATACCTCCGCGTCAGTGATCATGGCAGAGGAAGGCTTGATTCCATCTTGGGACGATGGATCGAACATCAGTGATGATGACTTGTTCTCGGATGGTCCAAGTAGCAACATTAGGCACCGGCGACATTTACAGGCATTTCAAGTCGATTTCCATGATCCATTACAGGTGCATCGCCAAAGAAATGCTCATGAGAACCGTTTTAGGGGTTCAAGTATCTTATCACCGCCCAATACTAATACGTCTAGCTGGGATAGGCATTTAGAACAAGAACCACCAAGAAGCCAAAACCAAGCAACGCCAGAAGATGGCGCTTCGGCATCGGACGCGTGGCTGAATATTAGTTCTGAGTTGACAGACTGTCCCATCTGTCTGGAAACACTGGAACGACCCAAAGCTCTACCTTGTTTGCATACTTTCTGTTATGATTGTCTCGAATCTTTCATCAAGGAGAAGGCAGAAAGGCACTTAATGCTACCATTCAAGAGTTTCCCATGCCCTATCTGTAGACGAGATACCTCGCCTCTCGATCCAACAAAACCTTACAAAGACTGGACCCACCAGTTTCCAACAAACAACATCATGCTCCAGCTGATCGAAATCGGGAAATCACCACAGAATCCTAAAGTCAGTGCCATGGAGTCGCACAAACCAAAATCAGTACCCCAGAAAAAGAGGAAAACTCCTGAAAACAAATACTGCGGAAATTGTCAAATATTCAACAGAAAAACCGTATCTGCAGACTTACGATGTGAACAGTGTTCAGTAAACCTTTGTGAAGCCTGTGATAGTGCCCTGCATCTTAATGCTCCAGATCACACGCGCATTTATGTTGGCGTCGGACATTCAGAGATTCAGGTAGAGTTATCTCCCGTGACAAATATTGATCCAAGAGAGTTTGACACATCTCGACTGGAATGTAGACGACATGGTGGAATGTTTGAATTTTTCTGTATGCTGCATAAATGCCCAGTTTGTGAACACTGTATGAAAGAAGAACATTTAACATGCGAAGGAGTCCACAAGTTTAGGGAGTATTCACGGATGCTGCAGACAGGACGTTCTGGATTGAAAGCCTCTTTAAAAGATGGTACATTAGCCATGGAAACTTTGGTTAGTCTCTTCAAACAACGCGTAAGCGCAATGTATGCTGATCGTGATTCCAGCTTAGAACATATCTGCGAACTTCGAAATGACATTAATCACCATTTGGACGAAATGGAAACGAACTTAAATGAGCAGATTTCAAAAGTTTCAAAGAATGAAGAACATGCTTTATCTGAAGTCTCGAAACAATGCGAAATTGTAAACAACGGATTAAATCGGTCTTTAGTTCGATTAAATGCCGCGATACAGGATGGTGATGATAAGAGAATCATGTCCGCTGCATTGTTTTGTCACTTCCAAATAAAACAATGCGCTGATGTTGTGAAGGAAATTTCTGGATTCCATAGTGTGCCTCGTCTCTCAGTCCAAATGAATCCACTTTTAACAGCCATGTTCGATATAGACAGTTTCGGAGAGACAGATTTCGTACGGGAGAAAACCGACCTTCCATCCTCTGTCCGAAAATTGTTGCCTTTGAATTCAAGAAGTGCGCGTGAGATTTTACGATTTAATGTACGTACACATGAAGATCAATTTACTTGTGGAATAACCAGTGCTTTATATCTGCCAAATAACCAGGTAATTTTGGTGGATTTCCCAAACAAAGCGGTAAAGCTGTTTTCGGATTATGGTCATCTTGTCCATCAGATCAGACTGCAAGATGGCCCATGGGACATCTGTAGCATAGATGGTGACACTTTCGCAATCACTTTGCCCTTTAAGCAAATGATAGCATTCATCGAACGAGACCCTAGGACGTCAGCCTTATTCCGAAACGACAACAAAAGCATCAAATTAAAAATGTGTTGTTACGGTATTACGTCATTCCGAGGCGGGATCGTGATCAGCTGCCCGACAGAGCGAAAGGTCACGCTGTTCAAGGTTTTGAGAGTGGGCAAACACTCTCATCAGCTAGAGCGGTTTTGTAAGTTGCCGATTTCTTGTTGGCAACTTGTGGCAAGCAATGCAAGAAGGGAGGTTATCAGCACTCATGACGCAGAAAATGGAGGTATATTGAGAATTTCTTCTCTTGATCGATTTTCGAAAGAAACTCTAGGCCCTCAACTTGCAAAAGGTCTGCGCGGTTGTGGCGTAGATAAAGAAGGGAATGTGTACATATGCGGCCGAAAGTCGAGCAATATAATACAAGTCAGTTTATCCACTGGAAGTAGAGTACTGCTTACGTCAGTGCATGGTTTGAAAGAACCATCGACGATTGCTGTGCAGGAGGATAAATTCTTACTAGCCGAAGTTGCGAATAATCAGGTCGCTATTTATGAGATGTTCTAAAAATGCCCTCCATGATGCTCAGTCATTCAGTTTAATGTAACAAGAGATCAGAGACCAGATACACCCGATGTTAGGAAGACTAAAACTAACTTGTCTTTTATTTGAAACGCTTACAGCCAGTCCACTTAAGTAATTAATGCTGCCCGTGTGAGGTCGTAAAAAAAACCTGCCAGAACTATTTGTTCCAACTGTGTAAAGTGTTCAGACGATAACAGATAAACTATGTTTGAAAGTTATGTCTTTGTTTTTGATATGTTCAGATATGATTCTGTTACAACATACCTGGTATGTATTTTATTTTTTTAATTTTAATTAAATACGGTAATTGTTGTGCTGTTATTTTCACGTCCAGTCATTTTCATAAGTTTAAACATATGTATTTTTACTTCATCAGTTTTCCTAGATTCGATTGATAATGTAAATCTTTGATTTGATAAAAGTAATTATGAAATTTATTTGTTTTTACATAACATTTCAACATATTGTAATATACATGTGTAGTGAGTGCCACGAAACGTCTAACATATTGGCATTAAGGTTGTTTTTTTTTTCATTTTAAGCTCACCTTGTTCCTTCTGACCAGGTGAGCAACCATCACATATGTCGCCCGTCCGTCCTTCGTTAACAATTTCCTTAAAACACTATTAGTCATGAACGTCTAAGCAGATTTTAATCAAATTTGGTCAGATGCATCTCTTGGGGCGTGGAAATGAATTTTGTCTAAATGATGAGTCTTGGTCCCACGGGGCCAGAGGGGCACCCAAATACAGGAAATAGAGCAAATTCTTTAATATCCTTCTGCTTTAGCAATGTCGGAATTCCCCTGGAACATATTTTCCCGGTAATTTGGGATATAGTGCATTTCATTTATTATCGTTTGATCAAAACTATACATTATGTTTCTGATTATGTAAATGTTTTCAAAAGATTATTTATTCGCGTGTTGTGTTCAATTTGATGCTGTTTTATATATGCGTAGAACATTTTTTGTAACATTATACTTTGTCAAAATTTGTTTGTAATTTGCATTAGTCTTTTTTTTCCTAAACCAATTTTTGACTATCAAATCAACTTTGATTAACGAATTACTTTCACCTTGTCTCTTTTAAACAAAAAGCATTAAAAACTTTGAAAATTGAAAGAAAAATCGAATTTATCATTTTTAGGAGGAAAAACTAATTAAGTTTAGAAAAAAGGTAATTATTCAGATAATGAATTAATCCTTAAACAGAATTAATTATCAATTGCAAATGTATCTGTATATATATTTTTTCAATTTGCTTTCATTTTTTGTTATCATAATATATCTTAAACATGCATATTAAAATTCATGAACCGGAAGTCTTTATGGATATTAAAGCTGAGAAGAAGATCAATGTCAGAAAAGGGTCCTTATGAAATATCCGAAATATGAACGGAATCTAGCATTATGATATAGCAAAGCAAAATATATCTGCTATTATTATTACTATAAGTCATCAAAAGTTAAATAAAACATTTATGACGAACTTGAGTCTAAGATTGTTTATTTCCTGTTTGTTTCACCTGTCTGAATTGTCTTACCATTATATCGTTTGCTTGAGTTGCCTTTATTTCGTGTTAATATTGGATGGACACCCATTGTTTGTTTGGATACTTCAAGTTTAGTACTTTCTTCTTTAATCGTGATACCAAGTCATTGTCTAAACATAATGTTGTAGGAAATAATAGTCGTCTCTCCTCCCAAGTACACTGTATTCAAACATTTCGTTCAATTCATAACTCTGAATGTTGTACGGATTGCAAAGATGAATTATTAATGACAAGGTGAGCTCATTATTTTGAAACACTTGTAAAACACGTCACCTATAAAAAGTATCATTATGACCAATGTCAGTGATGTTTACATACAGAATTCGAACACATGACCTGTCTCCTAACATAAGCTGTATATTTTTGTACGAGAGGCCTTGCATTGAAGTGCCAATAATCCTAACATCTGCAATCGGATTTCTCTTATACAGTAGTTTATCTTAATACACAGGTGATTGCTTTACATCCGGTTTAAGTAAATAAAGTAGTGGAAAATCAACTGTGGAAATAAATTAAAATCAGAAATTATGCCTTCTCTTAACCTAGGTTTACTAGTTAGTGTTAAGATTATCAGATAAATTATGAAAACGGAACAAGACTTTTATGAAATAATCTATAAGCAGGTAGGCGTTCCAGATTTCGTAAGTATAGCCATCGCCCAGATCAGATGATGATGATGATGATAAACCGTCACCAAAACTCTTCCCTTTGCCGAGCGTTGTCCAATAAACTGAGGTCGATTCTCTGGCGAAGTGAGGGGGGAGGGGTACACCTGGTCGCGTCTGAGGTTGGAGTAGTCTATATAATCTAAAGACTACTCCCAGGTCTAATGGTTCCTAACAGACCTGCCACACTACCGCAGTTGGTTGAGTCGTCTGTGTGCGGATGGGTCTAGAATGAATTTGAAGACGACTCCCAGGCCTAATTATTCCTGTCTTCTCTTGAGTGTCTGGACTTGCCATGGTGTACTGTCCAAACACCCAGGCTATCATAATGCCGGGTCCTAACTAGTGGGAAATCCAGAAGCCATTCCTAATAGGTTTGGAAGAAAATCATATCATCTACACTGTTCGATTTATCTCCCTTCGTCCATTCTTATGAAGTTTTTTATCCAAGAGTTATTTTGCAATAAGGTCTTCATTCCAAATAAAAACTAAATTGATGTTAAAATATTTCCGATTATTCTATGGAATATATCAGTATTGTATTGATGATCATAAATATTTGAAAGAGTAATTGATTTCCGACATAATTCTAAGACTGGAAGTTTGTATTTTAGTTTCATTTCGAGTAGGCCTACTACTACCGAGATCGAGTTGCTGACATGATTTATTAAATAGACTTCTGAAATATTGAAATATTTTGATTTATAATATACATATGATATGATAACAATAAATTAATTGGAAAGTTTTTAAAAACTTAAATACGAAACAACATTGATTAGTGACGAGTTAGCTTTTTATGATAAATTCTGGTGGTGAGCTTAAATCTATTCGTAAGCATGTACTAGAAAACGTTCAAGAGATTAAGTACGGTCGGCAAACCACATGGATGCGGACAAAACAGTCTTTAGATTACGTTATGGAATTGTGCTAATAAATGTTATCATAATATTGGCGACAAATCTGATTACTTGGTCATGTTTTGTCAATGCTTTTAGCCCTAATTATTGTGATTTTTTCTTGTATCATGTTATATCTGTCTTGTACAGTAATTTCGCATGTGTGCAATCACAAGCAAGAATTTATCAACTCATTTTCTGTTGAAATGAAACCTATTGTGCAGTCATTGTTGATATATCTGGAAAATAAAGGTGTGATTGGTTTATATTTTGACTCAGAAATGAACATGTTTAGATCTTCTTTGATTTTGATGCAATAATTAATACATACAGATGAAATTGGGAGTCGTGAAAAAAAACACAGTTCCTAGCTGTTGGGGGTTGAATTAGGCCTATAGCTTGTAGTCTTCTTCTTTCTGGTTTTCACCTCTACTAATACTAATGATTCTCGTAAGGCTATAGTAACACTTTTGTAACTAGCCAGACACTCTACCACCAAGATAAAGAGAAATCCCTACTAGCTAAAGCTAGAGAGGTGCCATGTCTGCCCTCATCCTCTATACACTCTACATCAGTTAGAATCATCAGTTTAAAAAACACACGTTGTATTTGAGGCTGTGCAATGCTAAAACAAGCTATGAACTGATGAAATGTTATTAGTCACTTTTGTCCAAGATAATTTAAAAGACAAAGAAACCAACCAGTTAATTAGATAAACAAACCAGCAATTGATCGATTCCTAGCTAGCTATAATAACTGATCGTCGATGTTTAAATATCAACCCATCTTCATGAACACAAGAAAATATTCAAACCCTCAGTGGCCTTTAACTGTATACTACACTGCAAAAGGTGCAGATTTCAGAGTCACACTTGACTGGACATGATCATTTATTACCTCACTAATCACACTCCTCCACCATATTGATCACATGAAGACCTTATAATAATTGTCTTGAACCTTTATATATATAATCCGCGTGGCCAATTACTCAATATTATATCCTATCCCATATTGATATATCACTTCCTTTATACACATCCTACACTTCGTTTGTGTGTGTCCCTGATACTTTGATTATAATTAAGAACAGAAGTATTTGAGTGTAAACACAGACAACATGATGTCCTTTATTCTGTTTACATATAGCTGTGGAAGACCCGTGTTAATCAGTGTATACAAGCGCCAGTAAAATCCCACAAATGTGGAAGATGATCTTCAAATTGACGAGCAGTCATAGTTTGTTAGATTTGTGGCGACGTGGAAGCCATTTCGTCTGTTTATGTTTACTATATACTAAACGTCAAGTTTTTTACAGTAGGGCTGGATCTTAGATTATAAAACAAGTAAACAGAAGACGGCTCCAACTCCTGACTCTGTGGTCAGGTTGCAAATGACACTCAAGATTTTTATGTAAACAGTGTAAGTCTTCTGTCCTTGCTTTTCATCTTGTCATTAAAATCAAGACTATATCAGATATGTTTGACTTTAATTTAAGTGTCAATATCCAATGTTTACCATATAGTTTGAAATGTCGATGGATTTTAATGTCTGAGTATATTATTACACTCATACTGGTTGTAAAATCTTAAATTTTGTTCAAATGTCTCCTAACATTGAACACAATGCAGTCCATGTAAACAAAGCATGCACATTTACGAAATCATTCTGTAGTTGTGGTTAAACCTTTCCATACAAAACATAAATTTCTTTCTTTTTCTTTACATTGTAGTTTGAAATTAAATGTTATCTCTGGCTTCTCCCGGCCCTTAAAGTGGATATGTACAACAGCGGTATCTATATACTGGTTTGGCCTGCACTTTCGCATATGTACAATTGTTTCTTTGTATAAGAATAAAACAAGAAAATAAAGACAAATGTGAATTCGAAATGAAAATCGACATATCGTGGTCATCACATGAGCAAATAAAAAATCTAACGAAAAACAGCGACACTACCAGGTCTAATTTCATCGAATTCTTTCATGGAAATCGTGGAAATTAACACAGTGTAAATTCACAGGATGGTTTTGTAACGTCTGCCAGATAAGCATCTCGATTATCAAATCGGATCCAATTCATTGTCAATTACACATT